CTAGGAGCCTGTCGACCCATTTGAAAAACTCCAGTCGACGGTGGTAAAAACTCCAGTCGACGGTGGTAAAACGATCTTTATAATACAGGTCAACTCGTACCTTGCCAACTCGTACCCAAACACCATGGCATAATATTTTACACACGGCTAACCGAATTACATTTTTAATTGAATATTCTAATGCTAGACAAATTTTAAAAAGTACATGTGAGTGCTATTATTGATGTTTTTCTGCAATTTGGTAACGTTTAAGGCAAAGTGGACAAGGTTCGAAAGTACATTGGTATAATAATACTATAGCCTAGACCGCCTAGCCTAGCCAGGCCTAGCTAGCCTAGCCTAGGCTACGCTACAAAAAAAGCACCACAGACAGAACATTCTGTCGACCAAAGGCGAGTATCAAGACCTCGGTGCTAGAAAGTTTTGAACCAATCTTTCGATAATGAAGGAAGCAGGTATATTTTTACCACATGAAGAAAAATAGCATTTACCATTTTGTGTGTGCGAGCGCCAGACAGGCCTGCTACTACTACATACAGTGCAGGCCTGTATTGCTATTGTGTAGCCTGACGGCACTCTGTCACTGCAGCTGCAGGTACGTAGGAAGAAGCCGTCGATCGTTGAACGAGAATACGATACGACTCACTCACAAGCACGCAAAATAGGCAAGCAGCAACAATGTCTTTAAATCAATTTTCGATAAAAACTCTAGAATAAATAAAAAAAATACTTCAATTACTTCTCTTCCATATAATGACTAATATTCTTACCACAGTTGATACGTCCAGAAATGGGGTGGATTTAAGAGATATTTCTGCAACATAAATCCACCTGAAATTACATTTCGCACACGAACAATGTTGTACACTCCGATTCTCCGTTGTGTTGACCCGCCGTTGTGTGCGTGGTGACGAGAAGTCAATCAGCTACAGCTAGCTGAGAGATATGAATGATATCAAATCAAAGAGTGTGTATAGCTGGCTTGTGTCGTAATGGCTCAATTCAATTACAGCATGCAGGAATTAGTATACCACTACACATTATTATATTATTATTAATATCTGGTATATATAGCCATCCAATAGCTAAGCATACAGATATCGTCTACTATTTTTAAATTGACAACTGTCCGTCTGTCAGAAAGAAGTCCCATGTTCCCTTTTTATTCAGATAAAAATTTGTGAAGTTGCATTATAATAAATATTGGTGTTTTATTGTAAATAAATGGAAGTAAATATAGGAAAAGTGCCACTTTTTTATGTTAAAAATATCATGTTTCAATATGCCATGGGATCTTCTAAAAGACCGTTGTTGGGATGGGAGGTCACTTCTGAGCATGACGTCCATTTCAGTTCTGTTTTCCAGGCCTCTCGCATAAACAATTCCCTATTTGCATAGGAGGAGGCCTCCGCACAATGTACAGGCACTCGACTGATGACGTATCGAATCCTCACACATTGACTACAGCTGTTGTCAGACGCCTTTTTATGCGCAGCGTATGGGTACAGTACCAAGAAAGTAATCTCTTTATGCTGGTCGCAATGCCATATGCTTAGCTGAAACAACGTTCCGAATAACATCACAAACAGGTTAGTTACTTCTTTATGTTTCCGAGGGTTATCTCTTTTTTTGGGATGTAGTCGTGGGAGAGAGGAGTGAGGAAATCTAATGAAGTTACTAAATAATCAAGTCACCACGATCGCGGTGATTGAGAGGAAGCTGCAGCTTCGTGTGTGTGCAGGCGCGGGTCAGTAGACAATGACCTGATGATCAAGTAGGGAGGAATATGCAGATCAGTGACGCATTTAGCCAAGCCCTTGAGCTCAGGAGGCCTTCGTTGTGTGTGGTGTTTAATCGAGAAGGAACAAAGGCCTAGCATGCCAAGCTCCTTTTTCGGCGACGCCATTTTATTTTCACAAGGAGTTGTTTGTACAGTACATGCATGTCTTGGTCTTGTTGATTGTACCTCAGAAAATAAAAGGTTAGATATTTAAATGTTCTTAATTCAGACTAGTGGTGTTAGTTAATACTAATTATTGTTAATGTTTTCAGTAAGTTTAAGTTTGGAAGAAATTTAAAGACTTTCATTCTTATTTTAAAACTCATTTTCACTGAATTGAAGTCCAACCAGATTGCAAGAAATGTGTAGTAAGTTATCTCCAACATTGGAATAGATGAACATTTGTAGTTTAAATCAAAACATTCACTTAGTCATTATGATGACTTAATAATAAAAGAATAAAAGATTGGCCAACTACTGCCATGCGACAGAAAATAATCTCTTTAGCCATAATCTCTGATGCATCAGGATTCCAAATGGATTTTTATATAGTTTTCTTTTTTTCTTCCTTTTTTCTTTTATTTTTTGTAAGGTAAAATTTAGGTAAGCAATTTTGTCATTATCATTATCAAAGATAACTAACGATGCAATTTTGTTTATCATTTTATAAATCAAATTCATATTTAGATACTATTTTTTTTAAAATTCTAAGTTGTGTTGCTTTTTAAAATTTTTGTTTAAGGGGAGGCCTTTATACCTTGATTTGCAAACCCTGTATGTCGATGATTAGAACAAAATGGAAGTTTAAGTTTTGGTCTGTTTGTGTAACTGCCTTATAAATGAATTGCAATTCCAGTAAAAAATTAAGTTTTAAAAATTTGTATATAATCTACAGTAACAATAAAATTAGTTTTTCCTCCTCACAATAGAATCTTGAGTGGCAAGGGGGGGGGGGGGAAGCAGGGGGGGAGCAGGCATGGATATAAGGGTGCCTGTAATCTATATTGTCTCATATTCATACCTTTAATTCCTTGATATTAAAAGTTTTACTTTTGATTCTACTCTGTAATTCTACTCTGCAATGAAGGTTTTGCCAGAACCATTAAAGTGCTAAAAGACATAACAAAATTGTTCCTCCTATTTTGAGATTTTACTTCTTCATACTGTAACCGTAGGCCCAGTGTATACTGTTGGCTCGTGTACCCAGTACATCCTTCGAGAAGAGTAGGGGGCCTACTCTGATTTGACGTGATATGACCCTTAGGGTAGAAGAAAGTTGTTGAAGGAGTTAGTCCACACCTGTACTCAAGTAAAGAATTGAGTGACAGGTTGTTTCCTACCTTTGCCTTTACCTCATTCTTACTAATATTTTTTTATACTTCGTCATTATTTGTTAATTATTTTTTGGTATTAACAAATCAATGCAAGATAATCTTGTCTTGAATATATTTTTTAAATCATAAATCAAAACATTTTCCTATGATTACATTCTTTGCATAATTGAAGATTTTTTTTGTCATTTACGATCTTTTTTTAAATGTATTTTGATTTCCATAAATTTATTCTTTTATTAATCATACCATTTTTCCATAAGAGGTTCAAAACCAATATTTCCTTCACTGGAAATATGCACTGCATTTCATTTTCAATGGTTTATGTAAAGCTGTTTGTCCTGAAGTCATTCAGTAGTATTCCAAATGCCTTGCTTGATCAATTCACCACATGAATAATTACAATACTATACAGCTGGTATGGCTTGTGAGTTGCTTGAAATGTGTTAAATTGCCAGGCCATATGGAGAAGGATTATGATAAAGGTCATCTTGCTATGAGTTCACTTTTACAGCATGTACCTCCTTCATCTGTTTCCTTTCACTGTAACTAGGGGGAGAACATAAATCAGTCGACTCCTAGTTAGAGGAAGTGTATAGATTATAGATTCTTAGATATATTGATGATTTTGCATGCACGCAATGAAATGAAAAACAAAGTACAGTACTACCAAAGATGGGGGTGCCCTACTAGAATTCCAGTAGAGTTCGAAACTTGAAAATACATTTTATAGATGCAGAATGAATGTCTTTTAAAATTCTTTTGAAGGATGCCCTCTAGTTCATGGTAGTTACTTTTTGAGAGGATTCCGTTTCAATGGGTAAACCTTGACAGTCGGACACCTTGCCATTTAATTTCTACACTCTTTGCTAGCCTGCTCTTTGCTAATACTTTACAGTATATAAATTTGTTTTTATTCCAGAAAAAGTTAAAAAGCACTGGTACAGAAATTTACCATTCACTGGCTGTGTATTTTCAGAATAAATTAATCAAATGTCAAGAAAGATGCTCCTGATTGAGGAGTCCCTGATTAGTAAGTAGGACTCTGCACCAGGAATACAATATTGCTATATCATCCTTAAAAATTAAGCATACTCTTTTGTAGCACATTTGCGATTGCTAAACCCTGCAAACCTAAAAAAAAACACCGCAAACCCCATCCAAATCTTGTGATAGTGATTGAATCATGTAGTATAGAACTCAACTTGGTATCTTAAATTATAATTTTTTTTTACTGAGATACCGAGTGAGCCCTACACTATATGATTGAATCACTATCACAAGGTTTGGATGGGGTTTCCGCTGTGTTTGGATGGGGTTTCCACTGTGTTTTTGGAGGTTTGTGGTGTTTTTTAAGTATTTTAAACAAAAAATCAAGATTTTACCCCAAAATAGGTTGTTATGAACATCAAATTATATTTTTATTGACTGAGATACCAAGTTGAGTCCTATACTACATGATTCAATCACTATCACAAGGTTTGGATGGGATTTGCGGTGTATTTTTTTTTTAGGTTTGCAGGGTTTAACAATACCCCATATAAACCATGAGTCACTGTGCCCTCTTTATATGCACTGTTACTTAGGCTGCTATATAATTTAAGATTGAAAGTACAAGCAGTAGGATATACCATTAGAGAATGGTATGACTTAATATTGTCCAAGTGTGGTTATTGTGTTTGCATACAACAGTAAGACTAGAGATAGCAAATGAAATCTTTAAAGGTCACTTTTCCGTTCAAACATGAACTTCTTGATCCAGACAGCCCAAAGACTATCCTAATTTCACCAGAAAGTGAGCATTGTTCGGCTGTAAAACCTGTTATGTATGTATAATTATGCATGGTTGCCTTGTCCTGAACACTTTGCATATTTTGTAACACGTTTAGAGCTGCAGAACAACAAACGTAATAGGGCCTACAGTAAATTACAGTCAGGCTCCGAAAAAGTATTTTGATATCTGATTTTTCAAAGACTGAAAAGCATATTACTATATTAGACAAAGAACTCAGGAACTGTTTATGAGATACAGATTTTGAATATTTGAAAACTGGGGAAAAGGATCGTACCATCCTTTATTCCACGTTTTTGCCCCAGTTTTTAAATAACCAAAAAATCTGTATACTGTTTCCAAGTCTTATGTCGAACATCCTTTTTGTGTCTTAAAAAATCAGTTGTACAACATATCAAAACCTTGTTTTCCTCTGGAGCCTGCCTTTAAATAATTAGTAATTACCTGACAATTTCCTGCAAGAAGCAATCTAGAATTTTTTATCTGTATGGTCATGTGGCTAATGATTGACAATTTTGTTAGTATTGTATATTTAGTTTAAACTTTCCAGAGGGTGAATTGGGCAATTCCAATTTAAGGACAGGTTGTGTACAATGGTGTAGCCGTTTTAGTGTACTCCGATAGAAGTGTCAACTAAGCCCCTATTGTTTATGGTAACAGTCTCTACCTAAATGTACCTCCCATTATGACACCACCCCAGATACACTGTGTGTTTTTTGTCTCAAAACAAATTGTCTACTGAAAGTGTAAGGCAGTGGTCGTAATACCTGTGAGCTGTCAATGGCTAAATATAGCCAGAGATCCTGGATCTTAAAGGCTCAAGAGGTATTAATTAGCATTTTTGTTTTCCAGGACCATGGGCTCCAAAATGGACAAGTGGGACCCCTTAAGTCCTACTGTATACCCCACTGGACTGTACATGCCCCCCCCCCCCCAAGCCCTCAAAGGCCAATAGAAGCCTTAGCCAGGGGCCTGAGGCCCTCTTTGTCCTGACTAAGGCGAGACTTTTTTTAACATGTACCTTTTTTCGCAAACTTGTATTTTTAAAGGTTGTCAGAGGATGTCAGAAAAAATTAAAAATTTAATTTTGTTGTCTTATTTACTAAATCCAAAAAGTCCAGCCAGAAGAGAAAATAAAGTGTTATCAGTGAATTGGGTGTAGTAATGGGATGGTTAAATGCTTTAAATTTATTAGGAAGAAATATACAGTACAGTATACAGTATCTTACTTGTTTTCGGAGATTTCAAGAGTGCGACGAACATAATGAAACTTTTATTATTTTCTGAAAATTTCATTTTTTGTGTCGGCGAGTGCACAAAGTGGCCAAAAATAAAATTAGATTTTTATTTGACTTATCATTATTGGTGGGTGGTGGGTTTGCTAACCAATGTATAGAAAAGTCTTTCGTAACATGCAATGAGAGTTTCAAGTCTGTCCTTCCATTCTAGTAATCAGCCAAAAACTGTAAAGCTACAAAATTTGCATTTTGTGTTACTGCTACCAGGAAAGAGTAAACTATAATTCACTCTTCCCTGGCTATTCAATTACATATTAGTGGGTTTTGGATCTGAGATGGTGTGTAATTTGGGACCAAATGCTAATTATCTATGGCTATGTCACACACGCGGTATAAGGCTGGCTTAAGCATGCCGTAGCGTACGCCTTTGTGTGTGAACTAGGCAGTGACGTTGTTAAAGCCACTCACTACGCCACGTCCTTGGCGTTATTAATGCTTGAATGATTTGACCTCATTTCAAGAGATTGACCCATCACGATTGCAATATATTAGTTTGGTCTTTTTCCTGTGCTCTCTATAAATGAAATGGTAAAGGGGTTCTTTTTGTATTGCATTTTACTTAGTTATAATGTATATGATTTGTTGATTGTGCTTTGTAAGATATTTTAACCTATTTAGACTGTCTATTAAAACCTGCAACACCAACAATGCTAGCTGAAAAATCAAAGTAAAATAGTTCATTTAAAATACAATAATCATATAAGTTTACTTCGAACAATTCACAGATTTTAAAGTTTTACTGATGTACTGTTAATTTTACTACATTTAAGAATCCGTACATTATTTAAAACTTAAAACTATTCCCCCATAGGCCTATATTACTACTAGTTTAATGCCAGTGTTAATATAGCGAACACCGTTGAACACTTTGGAATTTTAAGCCGTGAATTAGCTTACGCCTGGCGTAAGCTACGCCAGTCTTACGCCGTGTGTGTGAACATAGCCTATGACATATGACAGGACCAGTCAACATGCAAGTAATGATTATTGCATTTAGATTTGAGATGACACAATAGTTTGAGACGCAAAAGCAGTGTAGCTAGTCACACTACAGTAGCTAAATTGAATGAGTATGTGTTAGTTAACTGATTTGACAATATTCAAACAATTTGAATTAATTACGCATCTGCACATGCCTCACAATGATGTCAAATCATCCCAGATTTCTTGTCATCTCGGATATAAATCTCACCATTCTGCCATCCAGTCTACTGCATTCCAGAAGTCTAATTTATTTATTGTACTTTGTGCAGGTGGTCCCCTATCGCTGATCCAAATGAAACTTGGTACCAGTAGTATTTTTAAGGGCATCCCTCTGCTATCTGAAGCTTTCCGAAGAGATGATTGGAGGGCCTGCGCATTTCATGTCTTTGTCGGGCTTTCTAATGACATGAGGTATTGTCCGTTGAACAGACTATTCCATTATCATTGCAGATAGGGCTGGTCATCCAGTCATTAAAATGCAACAGTGTCATGCATTGATTTGAAGTTGTGCTTCTAGTAGAAAATCCTGATGACGTATGCTGTACTGCATAACATGCATAGCATTTTCTGAGGCCATCCCTACCAAGGTCAACTACTTGGTACTGATAATTACCAAGATAGGTGCTATGCAGGTTTTACTTGTCTTTATGGGGAAGTGGGGAGTGAGTAAACCAATTGGAAATGTTATGCCTTAGAATCTGCTGTCGGAAATGATTCAATTCGATATTATACTATACTGCTTTTCTAGTCCTACTAGCTGGAGATTAGATTTTGATGTTAGACCATAGACAGGTCAACCTCCAAAGCTTGTCAGTTAAATTGTAAACAGTAGGATGATTGCTACTAATAATAAAAGATACTTGAAACATATTAAAGTTCATCAGACTTGTACTGTAGTAGTAGCAGCGGCACTTCCTTAATAAATCAGTGCTGAACTGGTAGTTTTTTAGCTATCGGTATATACTGCATACATGCAAGTTAATGGTGCAAACAGTAAATTACTCCCAATGGCAGCGGGATGTTGCAGAACGATTGGTCTGTCTCTCAGGTGCTAACTATTTTATGTTAATAAATTTTACATTTTGGAATTAAAAGATTAGCATTTTTGAATATTTTGGCAAACATTTATAGATTTTCATTAACCAAATTTGCTGATGACTTGTGGGTGCCCTTTATGCCTTTGTACAGTACAATAGAATCTCCGTCAGCTTGAGGCTGAGGAAATTCTTTAGAAATGATGTTGAGATGATCCCTCATGCCTCTCTTAATTTCATTTTTAGCAGAGAGTATTGGTTGGTGCTTGAAGGCTTCCATTAACTGTAGCTCATTAAAATGCTGAAATGCTTGGCAGAAGTGAAAAGTAATATTTTCAATAGCTAATTGTGGGATGTGTGGCAGAAGGGAGTATATTTGAAAAGCATTGAAAGCCTGTAATAATACTAGTCTGATGATTATAGCTTTTTTGATGTTAATAGTTTTTTTGAACCAATTCTGTAACAAAAGAGATTATGATAGAACAGGCATATCCACTCTACTGAAGTATTTTATAATTTGCTAATTTATTTTGATAATAATAGAAGGCAAACATTATTCATTACAATCAATTTACAGGGGCACATTTATCTGTTGGTTTGGCAAAGTGACAAGACACTTATGTTGGCAGATGCTGTACCATCCAAGTTAAATACTGGTTCAGTAGGTCTATATTGTTATACAATGTATACATTTGTCACTGGTGTGGAGAAAAATGATTAAATACAAGGAAATCCTATTTCAAGATTTTGAAAATATTATCATTGCCAGAAGATCACTAATGGTTTCAAATAAAGCCCCAAAACAGTATATAATTACTGTCATACTGTTTTCTGTACCAGAGCAGTCTGCAAAGTTAGAAGTACAGCATTCCATTTGTTTTTGAATTGTGGGCCGTGTTCAATCCTAATGTTAAATCTTCAAATCATAGTCTGATGTGTCCCATTTATTGGCAGAACAGACAATCATGAATTATGTCACACAGTTTGGCTACACAAAAACAGCCACAACACACACATGGGATCCACAGTAGTTTCAAATAATAAAAAGTTTAGTATTAAAAAGTTGAGAGTTACTTTCGTTTTCTTTTGTTCACCATCTAATATTGCATAGTTAATTGTAATTGCTGTCTCTGGAATTCATGCAACCACTATTAGATTAGGGATTCTGGGAATGTGGTGATGGAAAACTGATGGTTTAACAGGAAGAGATTAGGTGAACTTGCTTTTACAGCTAGTGCTAATACAATCGTGTGAATGCAGTGTTAATGAGGATTTATAACAATTAAACTCTCGCTAATATGCTAAATGGGAAGTCGTAAAGAAGAAATGTTTAATAAATCTTATTGTTTTTAGAATGTCTTTAAACTACTGGTAATATTAGTATTTTATAAAAATTTACATTTTTAAAAAATTCCTTGCATGACCACGATGTCTTAGAAGCAAAACCTAACGAATTAAAATTCATAATTACCTTAAATTATGGTAATTTGTGAGATTAAATTTTTTGGTTATACTGTAGTTGTAATGGTCTGTCCAGTGGCAGGATTTTTTTTTTGGGAGGTGGGGGAGGTGGAGTCTATCCTGCACCCCCCTCCCCAATTTAAAAAAAAAATAAAAAAAGAAAATTATCATCAAATGCAAATCTGAGAGTGCCATTTCTGGCCATGTATGTGCCATAATCATAAATGTTCTGGGACTGTTGTCAGTGAGTCCTCACACTGTTTTTCTTTGTAATTAATAATGATTAATAAGTTGTTATTGCAAAGAAGAAGTCTCAGTGCCTTCATACTTCTAGCAATACTTACATGAATGTATGTGTGAAATTTAATTTGTAACAAATTTAGCAAATTTCAGTGAAGTTACCACAAACAAATGGAAATAAGATCATACTCATAGAAGTGTAAAAATTAAGTCGATAGAAAGTCAAATACAAAAAATTGGTGACAATTGGGGACAGCTGAAAACAGTTTTTCTTTCACTGCAGATGATAATTTATGTCACATGATGTGTGCTAGCATTATAAGAATTTGTTATGCATTAGTGAACTTCAGCAGAGCAAGTCTAACAACCACTTCCAACTCACAAGTCTAGTATTGATTGGATCATTTTATACCTCCATGATTGGATGATTGGATGTTTTCTTGTCAGAATTTTTTTGATACAGTAGCTCACATTCCAGAGAGCTGTAATAGGGGAAAAACTGAATACAGGAATTGCTTACCAATGATCAAAGAGAGATTTTTAAGTTTTATCTGTATTTTTACAAGTGCTTAGCTTTGATACTTTTGCATACAAAAATGCAAAACATTTTAAATTTTGCAAACAAGAAAAATAGGGAATTGTTGGAAATATTCATTATCTATTAAAGCAAATTACTGGAGTATGTGGCTTGGACTTAATAGCCTTGCTGTAGAGAGTCTTTTTTTTCTCTTTTTGAATTGTAGTAGTGATATGCGAGTCCTTCATAAGCAAGGCAGGCAATCATAATGTTTTTCATCCATGATTTCCGAAATGTAAAAGAGAAAAATTAAGGCTCCATTTTTTTCTTTCTATTTAGCTTTAAAGATTACCACAACACACACCAAGTTGTGGTGATGCTAGTGGGAGACAGAGAGCTAAAAACACTTGTCTGACAGACAGAAATAAGAAACATGCACTATTTGAACAACCTTTTTTTAGCTTTTTAGGTGTACTCGATCTTAGAGTAACAAGTACTGGATACTGTTAAGACATTTGTTAGTCTGAATTGATGCATGACTTGGTGTATTTTCCCACAGGGTTGAAGAGTGCATGCAAGAATTAAATACTGCCATTAATTGTGTTGTAGTATCCAATGTTTTAACAGTTTGTAATATGAATGCTTTGAGATGCTGTTAAATTGTGAAGTGGTTGATACAGTAGAACATGTTTTATTGTTTTAAAATTTACAGGTGTTTTTAACAATTTTATTTTGTAGGTGAAGTGGTTTATGATTAAATGTCTGTCAATCTGCCAATCAAATAATTGAAACATTGAAAACCTATGTAAGTCAATTCTCACAATTTATTTTTTTGCATATCATTTATTTTTAATGAGTTGGTAATATCTTGTTACAGCACACATTTTATTGGCATTATTGTAAGTTCTTTTATATACAAGGTGCATCATTGTTCAGGTTGTGATATTACTAAAAAAAGTCAATATTTCCATAATATTTTACATGTATAATACTTACATATTTTATGGAAAAATAGAAAGTGTAGCAAAGCAACCTCTATTTTTGCTATAGTTGAGCATGGTTTTTCAATTTTGGAAAATCCTAGTGGCGTCTTACTAAATTTCATGGTCAATCGTGATTCACCGTAGCGCATTGTACAGGATCGTGATGCCATCGTGATGGAGCACAATATTTTGGGAATGTTAGAAAAAATTGTGGTCAATCATAGCTGTGAAAAAAGCCTTTGCCTGCTGCATCATGAGTGTTGTAACGTTGTCGTTTGTCAAAATGTATCCCTTTTCTGTATACAGTATACAAGATCCAGTACGTGTTCCATCATAATACCAAATCTTAGCGGCATCCTGATGGCGTCTTGACAAAACACACAATTCAATTGAATCACTATGTAGAGCACGATTTTAGAACTTCCTGCTCTATCGTAGCAAAAATCGTGAATGTGTGAAAGGTTCATTAGAGTTTACCAATGTTATCACCCACCCACCCTTAATGTCTGTCACCCACCCTTAGTTTTCTACAGCTACAACCCTGATTATGTATACTGGGTCTATGGTTTATCCTTATCTGAGTTATCTGAGAAGACTTGTTAACACCACAAGAACATAGGCAAGCGTGACGTTCGAACCAGCACAGATATGCATGCTGTACGTTGCAAAGGCTGTACGTTACAAGGCTGTACGTCATCCTCTATCCATGCAAAAACTTTGTGATGTATGGCCTCCTCATTCTCGCCTACTGTTACTTGCTCAATGGAATTAAAAAATCATTACGGATCGTTTGGGATTATTATTGTACAAAACCAGATGAGCTTCACATTTTTTTTTCAGTTTTTGATTATTCTTTACTATGTTCTGAAAGGTAATTTTTCCCTCATCCATTTTCCATCTTTTGAGTAGTTGGGAATTGGTCAACTGTTAAAAACAAATATTGTTGATCATTGTGTGGGCTCTTTATTTGTTATTGTGTATTATGTTCTATTGTTTATAATTAATAATGTATTTTCTGTTATTTTTTAGATTGCAGAGCCAAAAAATTATGATGGAAGAGGAAGCGGAGTTACATTGTACCAAGTGTGACTTTGTGTCTCGATCACATTCGTCAATGACACGCCATATGAAGGGTAAACACAATGAGCAGTATGAACCACCATACCAGTACACATGCGACCTCTGTCCCTATGCTACAGGCAGTAAAATGAACTTTGTTCTTCATGTCCGATCTCATGCAAATCCACAACAGTTTGTCTGCTCCATCTGTCATAGAAGTTATAAAAATAAAAGCTCTTTAAATAAGCACAAACAAAGCCACCGAAACAATCCATTTTTCTGCACAAAGTGTAATAATAAATTTGTCTACAAGAGCAATATGAAGACCCACATGAAAACCTGCAAAGGAAGACAGAAACCAACTGTCAGACGCTTCCGATGTAAGGAGTGTTCGAAGGAATTCTTGTCTGGAGTTAGTTTACAGATGCATATGAGAGAACATGAAGACATCATGGAATTAAAATGTACTTACTGCAACTTTGTCAGTGACTCTCAAGAGGTTCTTTCCAGTCACATGGAAGATGTCCACCAGATTGCCAAAGATGTCATTGAAGAAGGCAATGACTATAATGTAATTCTACAAAGAATTAAGAAAGAACCTGGACTGGAAGAAGAGGAGGTTGGTGTTGGTAATGGAGTATCTGGTGACCATGATGAATCTAATCAGGTTGCTCAGAGCTCACAATTTGAATCTGAATCGGGGCACATATGCAGTGAATGTGGATTTGTAGCTACTAGTAATGGAGGTCTTCGATACCATCGGATGAAAACACATCCAACTGTTGCAGACAAAGCAAAAATGCCTACATGTAAACTCTGTGATGAGAAGTTCCTTTACCCATCTCAATATAACAGACATCTTATTAAACATTATAAGAAAGGAGACTGTTACCAGCTGGACAATGATGCGCCAATCGGTTGTCCATATTGTTCCTTCAATACTTCTAATTGGAACTATGTTTATAAACATATAAAAAGAATGCATCCATTCTACCCAAAAGTTACCCGTCAACGTCCCAACTCATCATCCAATGATACCATCCAAGATTTCTATGGAACGACCACTGATAACATTCAACAAGATGAAGAAGTTGGGTCCTCTACGATCAGCCCACCATCTAAGAAACGTAAAAGTCGTTTGTATGCCTGTGACCTTTGTGATTTCAGCAGCTGGAGTCATGGTAGTTTGAGCTATCATAAGAAGAAGGTTCACTCGACTCACAGGTTTAAGTGTAGCATGTGCTCTTACAAAGCTGTGAGTAGGTGTGATGTCATCAAACATCAGAAACGGCACAACAAAGGGAAACCATACATCTGCAAGTCCTGTGGTGATGGGTTTGAGAGTAAGAAGAAACTCAATGCCCACATGGCTAATTGTCATGATGGACCATTGGCAGAACCAGAGGAAGAGATGAAAGTTGTAGAAGAAGTTGGAGAAGAAGAGGAGGGAGAAGATGAAGTAGCAGATACAATTGTAGACGAGGATGGCAAAGAAATTACCCTGGTTACAGAAGATAAATCAGATGACTCAAGGCCATTCAAATGTGATGAATGTGGCAGATCATTTAAACACCGAAATAACCTACAACTGCACAAGCTGTCACACACAGTGGTCAGAATACATCAGTGCCAGCTATGTAGTTTTGCTGCAACATCGGCTGCAAGTCTTGGAACCCACATGTCAGAGGAACATGACATAGAACAAAAAGAAGATGAAGATGATGATGTTGATGAGAATATGTCTCAGCTGGAAGGTAGTGAAGAATATGATGAAAGTGAAGATGTTACAAATGGAGTTCAGTCTAGTGAACAGCCAATGTTTGTACGGAAAGGGGGTTTGTACAAGTGCAAATTATGTGCCTATAGGAGCAAGTATCCCTCAAAGATGAGTCGCCATGTGAAGATCCACACCCCAATCACAAAAAGCACAAGTTTTTCCTGTAATCACTGTAATTACATGACAAGGTATAAATTTGCATTAAAGAAACATGTTATGAAAAAACACAAACAGAATTTAGATGGGACACCAGCCTTTGAAGAAAGTCGGGGTGAGCTGTCACAACCAATGAAAGTGAGTGAAAGTAATGAAGAGATGCTGACGGAGGTGAACTTTGACTCTCCAACTGGTGTATTGCCAACTGATGATAGCTCTGGCTCATCTAGATTCATTATTAAATGTACTTGCCGTGCATGTCATGGGAAAGCAGTTCCAAAGGACAGTGTCACAAGGGAACAAGATGTATTCACCAATGCTAATGAGATGCTCATTCAGAAAGTTCAGAAAGAAAATAACGTGTTATGGGAATGTTCCATCTGTGATAAGAGTTTCACAGAGAAGATTCGATGCCTTCGTCATAGCCTAATACACACAGGAGAAAAACCATACACATGCAGCCACTGCTCAAGACAGTTCAATTTGCGCAGCAATGCCAAACGCCACATCATCATTCACATAAGAAATAATGGTGGTGAAAAACTCTCAAAGTGTACAATATGTAATAAAATTTTTGCTTTTGAAGGTCAATTGAAGTACCATCTGCGAACACAGCATGTAAATGGAGATGTTGCGTTTGAAGAGGCGTATGATACTGATGTTGACGCCAGCTTGAAAGCTGTTAAGGATTCAAAATTAGCTGGAAGCCTGAGTTGGCATGGAGAGATGATGGAAATCTCTAGAAGATTTCGATGTAGGTATTGCAACTCCACAATTGTTGGGAGAGCAAATTTTGTTAAGCACATTTGTTCACACACCGGACAAACACCAATGTCATGTAACATATGTGGAAAACTCTTTTATGATAGAACATTATTATACAAACATAAGTTGATTCATAAACGTAAAGCAAGTACCTGTAAAGGCTGTGGAAAGGTTTTTACTGTCCCTGCCCGCCTGGCAGAACATAAAGTCACTTGCATTGCATTGAAAAGACTTAATAATGAAGTTTTAGGACCGCATCATGGAAAAGAGAGGTCTGTTCTTGGAGTGGACACTTCAGGTGATGTTGATGAAACTGGCATGCCAATGCCCATTATTAGTAGTGTATACTCGCTTCAGTCTCCACAAGCTGTCAACACTGATAGTAATGCTAGAATGATGGATGTACGTCATGAATTTGAGGCTCCTAATGATGTATCAAATTCTCAAAGTTACCAGTCTAAAGAAGAGAGCCCGTTGTTGTCCAATATGCTTGTACATGGCAGGCTTGTTACCCCACAAAAAAGCCTCAGATCATTTGAACACAATAGCTTAAGCCCTCGCATCAGTCCATGTGGATCTCTGATGTCAGAACAAGATCGAACAGGAAGTCATTTTGAAAGACCTGGAAGCATGAGAGCATCCACACCATTAAATAGACATGGAGAAGGCAAAGACACCAGCAACCACAGTCCAACAAATGCAGATCGTGAAAATTCAGTAGATTCCAAGTGTACTGATTGTTTAAGAAACTCGTGCCATCAACTGAAGTGCATTCACTGTGGTCTGATTTTCTTGGATGTTGTCATGCATACACTTCATATGGGATGGCATGGCAACAGGAATCCTTTTGAATGCCATGGATGCGGCAAGGATTGTGGTGACAAATATAGCTTTATTTCGCACATCTTCAGAGAAAGCCATAAGTGATCCTCAATTGTGTAGAGATCCTGTAGTGACAGCACCTCAAGTCCCTCACTGTTGGGAATGCTTCTACATGTTATATCCTAAATTATAGAATCTTTGTTTTTATCATCTTTTCACTTGCTTCACATTTTCTCTCGCAATATTTCCCCAGTCAAAATACTTGTAGATGTGACTTCCAGGTGTAATCTAAACGGTAATACAGTATAAATTTTGAAACTTTGGTATTGAATGTTCATTTAACTATGAAAACTAACCACATTTTATAAAAGTTTGAGAAAATTATTTTTCCTTTTTAAACCTTTTCAGAACATGCATGTATCTATCTTTAAAAAGTTCCAAAACATCCTCTTGTTTTAATTTCGTATATTTCCCTGAAAGGCTCTGGAGAAAAAAAAAAATTTTTATGTGTTGTACAAATTTATGTTGTGTGAATGAGTGTAGAAAGAAACATCATTTGTACAACATATTAATTTTCCTCTTGAGTTTAAAAGGTTCCTGCGGTAGTAATTTCCAATGTACTTTGTGAAAATGTTAGTGGCTGCTAATTAGTAAATTGTTACATACAGTAGTGCCATATATCAGAGGTGTATCCAAGATTTTTTCTGGGTGGGTCGTGATCATAATATTTTGGACCTTTTCACAATGCAGTAACAGCAAGATTGATTAAAATGTCAATACAATTTGCGCGAAGCGGATAGCAGGCTCAGTTTCAAAATTGCTGGAATTGAGATAGATTTTATCGTGAACAGATGAACCTCATCAATGCTTTTTCATTTGTCAATGTGAAAAGGCCCTAGAAAAAACTGTCTTTGGAAAAAATGTGGACCTTTGAAAATTTGGGGAGGGTCGTACAACCTTCCCTTGAATACACCCATGTATATATTTACAATTTTGCATATGGTCATTTTATGCAACCTCTTTTAGTGTTGCATTATACTTATTATATTGTGGTTATTATATATTGAAGTCAGTAACCTAATATTCTATTTAATTTGATGATTTGATTATATTTTTAAAATTCACAATTAAATTTACTTATGTTGATTATGTTTAATTAATTATATTTGCACATATTTTGAATTCAGAAAGTATTGCAGAATAAGTTGTCAATATTTTGTTTGTGGTGATTTTCTCATGTACTGTACTATATTTATTTAGGTGTCTAAAAAAATAGTTACAGGTTTTTGAATTTTATATTTGAAATAGTAGAAGTATTGTACAGTTAATCATGAATTGGGCTTAATTAAGCAGTGTCCTAAATACACATAAAAAAAAATCAAATACTTTTAGACACCTCCACCCCACAACTGGCTATATTCTTGGGACTTGGATTAAGTATTTGTACAGTACATGAAAGTCACTCATAGCCTGTGCAGTCGTGAATTTGTATGTAAATGTTATATTGTACAGGGTTTTGTTCCGAGTAATTAAATTATAGTAGTGTCTGAAGTTTATCTGCTGTTGTAATTTGATTCAGTAATGTAAATAATTTAAGTTTTATTTCTGTATTATGTGTCAAGCTAGTGGTAGTGCCAGCACTTATCGGACACCAGAAGAACAATTAAAACAATTTTGGGGCACAGCACATCTGAATCATCTCAGAACAGCCTAAATGGCCAAAAGCTTACACTCCTAGGCACCAAAGGCCAAGACCCTTGACCTCGCATGGATTTGCTTCTGGTCCCCATCAGAAACTGTCGTACAGCTTTACAACTCTCCCTCGTTAAGAAAAATCTGGCTCAACCACTGTGTTCACTATCACCCTGGACATACCTACAGAAGCATCACTATTTGCATTTATTCTCTTTCCATTTATTCTCTTTCCACTCCAAATACAGTACTGTAACTTATTTCTGGGAACAATATTACAGTATGTGTAAATCTGTGGACCTCCACTTGACAGCTTTGTTCTCTGTATAGATATTCTAGAGCCAGGCTGAGTTGGATAAGGATAACAAGCATGATCACCTGAGCCAGGAGTAGGGTTTAGGATCTCCCTCCATAATGAAATATTTTTTTAATAGGGACCTGGATGACCAGAAATGGCACTCTCAGACTTAATGTAAAGTTGATAGAATACTGTACAATTGTTGCTATACCTACTCTCAAACTCGACTCAATAAACACGCATTTCATTTGGCCAGCCGTTAATCCCCTGCTTCCCCCACTCCCCGGGGAAAGCATTTGATGCTCATGTTTTAAAATATTTTAAATCAATTTTTTCTTATTATCAGTGGTGGATTCAGTAATTCATTATACTGTATAAGGAGGGGGATGGGGGTGCACCCATGGACCCACCATATTTGGGGTAAAAGTAAATTTTAGATTATGGCAATAGCAATATTTTTTCTCCAATTATAAAATATTGAATAAGTTAGTGGGGGGAGAGAGGGGTCTCCTTTAATCTGCCACTGATTGTCAAAAAGCAGGGACTATTTTTAACCCAAAAATGCTTCAGAAACAAGTAGGTTAAACTTGCCAAAGTCGATCATATTTTACATGCCCAATTGTTGTTTTCTACAGTATTAACAATCTGCAAGTCTATAAATATTTCAGTGGCATTTTGGATTCGACTTAGCCAAGTTGAACTGTAGTTCGAAATGTCTGGCAGCGTATGTTAGTTTACGGGAAATTGGGAGCATCAAAAAATTCCTGGACAATGCATGCCTTTGTCGCATCTCCAAAATTCAAAGGACTGGCTATCCATCCTGAAACTTCATTTATAAAGTTCTACTTGTATAATTACAATCCAAAGCATTTTTTATGATCAATCCTTTACATTTGCATCTTCATCTTGCCTGTAGAACAGTCTCCCAAAATATATCAAGCCATCTCCAAAAAACTTTAAAACGTAGAGTGGTTGTAGACAGTGCTTCGCAGATTGTGCATTTTCTTTCTATTTTTGTTTTAAAGACAGTATTATATTTTATTATTTTTATGATTTCAAGTGCATAGAAACTTTTCTTGTATTATGCGCTATTCAAGTGTAACATCATTATTATTTTATTATTTGAAGAACCGTGTAAATTAGCACATGAATTGACAATCCGTTGTTTTTGAAGTTTTTGGCAAGCCTGTTTACATTTTGGAGACCCAATTTTAGGACGCGACCCATAGCCTAGGAAGTTTGGTTGAGAGGGAATGTTCCTGCTACTTGTGCTGAAAGCCTGAGTTTGATTCCAGCTAGTGTCGTGTTTGGAGTCAATCGCTCGGTTCCTTAAATAACCCTCAGTGGGGCCTATCTAAAATTTCTATTCCAAATTACTGTAAATTACTGTATGACAAATGTATTTAAAAGAAAACTGAAAAACAATTAAGTAAATGCTTAAACATTGCAATACCTGTTTTCCAAACTGTTTTATTTTTTGCAATTCCTTACTTTTATATTACAATATTTATACAGTAGTGGATAAAAAGCACAGCTTTCATTAGTGATTCACGGCAGCATGTTATTTAATTCACTCCGGGTGGACTTTTACCAATAGCAACTTCAGATGAAGTACAGTATGCGAGTCATTAGCAAAACCTTTGCTCATTCTACTAACTTGGCAGCATTCGTTAATTGGAATAATGGAAAAAATTCAAAATATTAAAACTTGCCAACTATTATTTACTTATACAGTATAATATTTTTCTAAAGCCAAACATTAAGGCACACACATTTTGTACAGAACTTCTGTTGATTAATTTTTCACTTTTTTATCATTGGAGAGTGCCTTCAGACATGAATAAAATTTTAAACAGGTCTATCACCTAAACATTTAGCATCTTAGAGTACAGTACAGTGTTGAATTTTGACCCAAATGGTTTCAATTGACTGACCCTGTAAAATTTATGGTCAAAAAGGAAAAGAAATTTCCCAATACAGAATGTTTAACATTTTAAACAGTTAAAATTATTGATAAAAAAAAACAAGGGACAATTTAATGTGATGCACTACATTTTTGTACATCAAATTTATTTTGACAAAGCTTCTGCACATCAATGGACCTCTTTTTACTAGAATCTTTTAGTAGAACAAAAGGGCATTTACAGCCTCGTAGTTCCTCCCTGTAAAAAGCCCCACAAATGTTTCAAACTACTCCATCATGATTGATAATTCTTCACCAAAAATGTATTTCCCCATCATTATCTGAACTCCAGAAATTCCTATTAGCATTCAGATGCTCTACCAATTGAGTAATCTCTGAGGCCAAACTGATTTACTCTCTTTGACTCATCCAGTGGCATATCTAGGGGTATTGAAATGGGGAGGGGGTGGGGTGATGGAGCACGCTCGATGATAAAGGGGGAACTAGCTGGCAAAACAAGGTGGTATGAGGTAATTTTCAACTACCATACTTAGCGTAATTTTTTTTGTTTCAAAAATTTATAGTGGGGGAAGGGCAACTGGGGTGCGAGCTTGTTTTGGGGAGGTTGTGATCCCTGCACACACCTAGACATGCCACTGTTTGTATCCAGGTATTTAACCCTACAAATACATTTACAAAATATTGGTTTCTAAAAGCAATAGAGGATTTCTATTACTGAAAAACAAAAATTAATTTTACTTTTCATATTTACATCTGGAACAAATAAGTGTTATAATCCTAATTACAGTAACAACTTTTAGACTGAATTAATTTACATTGCAAAATGTTTGTTAATTTTCTTGTCTACAATGAGTTGCCTGGTAAGTTTGGAGAATGGTGCAAGTCCCCTCTAACAAATTGGGGACAAAATTAATTTATTTAGCACCTCCTCCCCAACCTATTCATTATATACATGTGGAAGAATAAATTACTTGTTACAAATTTGTTGTTTAAAAAAAACCACTATAAATTTGATATTAAGTAACTTTCTTTGTCTATTATCCAAGAAATTTTGGGGATGATGAATTATTTCACTAACCCTAATAAGTACAACAATCATTTACTCAGTGATGTTCCATTACTTGGGTTGTACTGTATTACTAATTGTAGATAAAATTGTACAATACATTCAAATTGTCATGTTAAACCTTACAATTTTTATACTCTTACGGAGGGGTTGGATTCCAATAGGGATGACCAGGCAGTTGTGACATTGGTGAAGGTGCCATTTGAGGGGGTTGTTGGCTATATGAGGCTGGGGGAGGTTGTGAATATTGAGGGGTGGCACGGGTGTACACAACCGGAGCCTGGCGGTGTATGACCCCACCATAGGTACCTGTACCTGTAGTCCCTGGGGGAAGGTGAATAGGTTGTGAGGAAGGAGGGTAGGGAAGTGACTGGGGATTACTGGGGTAGGGGAGTTTTGCTTGTAGATGGTTATACATTCCAAGGTTATGCTGCATTCTGTTTCCTTCATCATCTTCATCTGAATCGCCGGCGTAGTCAACTAACCTCATCCTTTTGTTTGCCCCACCTGGGGCATCTTCATGTATACACACCCTAGATTTACCTGCTAGTATTTTATTACAAATAAAAGTTCACAATTTTGTTTTGAAATTTAATATGGATATCCAAATTGTTTGGTAAATTGTATTTTTACAAAGGGTTAAAAAAATTTTGAATTTTTCATAATTTATATTTGTTTTTGGAATATTAAAGAGAAAAAAATTTGAAGAGAAAATCAAATATGGTTAGAATCAATTTCGACATGTAAAAGGGAATGACGTTGACATGTTGAACGCAGCCAGTAAGATCAACCGAAGAGACAGCAACATGCAAGAGAAAAGAAAGACAACAAAATATAGTTAGTGTGACATTTTGAGAGGAAAAAACAATGTTGCAATATAGGGACAATATTAATGGGATTGATTACAAATGAAATCCCCTTTTAGGAAATGTTTTTTTTCCTCTCTTTAAATCAACTTGGTATAAAAAACTTTGTAATACTGTAGCTGTTCAAATTTGTATTATATTTTCAAACACTTTCATTTAATGTCCCTTTAAATCACTTGCAACATTGTTTTTAGACCTAAAATTTGCATTTTTTGTGCATTTTTTTTGGCTGTGGAAGAAAAATATGATTAATTTTTGATGGGTTGTTCTTAAAAAGAACATAGATAAGCCAATCCTCTTAACAATACCAACATACCTAAAGTTTTGGAAAGAGAAGTGGAGAAAAACTGCCTGTTAGTTAAACTAGCTTCTTTGTTTTTAATCAATGATATAAATTTTGTCTAAACTATAGAAAATGTAATTGAATTATACAATTATAATTTTTTTTTTCAAGATAAAGATAAAATTTTCATTAAGAAAATAAAAATTTGTAAGACTTTTTTTAAAGAACTCAATTGAATTTTGTTTTCTATTTTTGATATGTGTATTATATATTATAATTTATTTTTTCCAGATAAAGATAAAATTTTTCATTACGAAAATAAAAATTTGTAAGATTTTTTTATAACACAATTAAATTCTGTTTTCTATTTTTGATGTGTGTATTATATATATTTAAGGCATTAATGGGGGTTAATGGGTTTATACCTAACTTCCAATAAAACAATTGAAATGAAAATATAAATTGAAATATATTGTATATTTGCGAGGGTACCTAATTTTTTAAAAACAGGAAAATAAAAAAATAAGAAAACGACGGACAGAATATAACTAATGAAATGAAGCAACAAGTAAATACGAATGAAATTTGAACTAAAATATACTGCAGATACCAGTGAAGGAATTAACCCTAGTTAAGAGATGTTGGATACAAAACAATCAAATATTAGTGCCGGTTCCAGTATCCCCTAACACGAGGGGATTAAGATGATTTCTTCTAAGAGAATAGCAACATAAAAACATAACATCAATAAGCATTCCTCAATTTTATTTCTTTTTCGTAACGACGTGCCCCTGTAGAGAACGGAGGAGAAAAATTGCCTAGTGCCCACAAACCTGAAGCTGGCAACGCCGGAGGTGGCATCAGATCACGGTCGTGTGCTATATTAGGTGGTAATCCAACTGGCACCGGCGCTGGCGGAGGCATTAACCTGTAACAAAGCAAATTCAACATACCGAAGGTGTTGGAGAAAAAACCCTACTAGTGACTGAGCTTGTGAATTAAATCAATATTACAGATTTTTTAAAATTTAACTTGCATACAAAATTATGATATTAACAGTGACAATACATGAAACCAAGGGGTCCACAATTATATTACGATAATTTCAGAAAGAAGAGAAGCTATATTGGTTTAATTTTTTTGTTCTTTATCTCAACACCCTCATTCCTGATGATGTTGGAATAAGGAATGAAATATTGAATTAAAAAGGCTTTCTTTTCTTTTTGAATGTGCGTGACATAGTAATGCATGGGTTTTTATATATTTAAGGATCTCACCCACAATAGAATTAACATTAGTTTTTGTGTAATATTTTTTCTAAAAGACGAATAATAGCTAAAAAATATTAGAATACTATTGTATTTGAGTCCAATATAATTATTGCAAAATGAATGGAAGTAGGAAAAACTATGGGGCATAAAATTTTTATATTCTAAATTATACTGTATTTCATCTGTTACCATAAATCAAATTTCTTGACATTAACAACTATATTAAATTGAGTATTCATAAAAAATATCATTATAAGAGCTAATATATTTATGTAAGTCTCTGGTGCTCAGACCAATTAGCTTTAGAGGTGCAATTTACCTAGCATCGTCTGGATGTGCAAGTCTAGGTGAATGCGAGATGATGCCTGGTGTTAGTCCATGGCTGGAATGCACTGGTTGGTTTGGGTGTGATAAGGTTCTTGGTGGAGAGCTGGCACCTAGATTTGTCAAGTGGGGAGGGCCATGCTATGTAGAGCAAAGAAATGTTATATTAGGCATACAAAATGTTACGACGTTGGTAGCACACTTGAAAACCTGTCAGAATGGGGGAGTAAGGTTTGATTTAAATTTATTCTCCTCTACGACAATATCGTCTCCTCTCACAGTCAAAGAATGCCAACCTTTTTTGAAAATGATATAAAAAAGTCAACCTAATTAAAAATGTGATTAATTAATGTACACAAATTAATAATTGTTAAATATAAGTTTAATTGCAATTCGTACAAAAACCTAATAAATATATAGAAAACATGATGAAGAATAATCAACAATTGCAGTTATTTATTTCCTTCAAAACGCCTGAATCAAAGAAAAGGTTATTAGCGTTGGTTACCATTAGGCCTCTAATGCGCTATATAAAGAATATTAGGCCGAAAAAAAAAAAAAAAAAATAGGTTGTCCTTCACACTTTTAAGAGTCAGATTACAAAGGAAAAAAATTTTGGTATGTTGTACAACTTATTTTTACAAAAGACACAAAAAGCATATTTGACGTAAAACTTGATAGTGGTTAATGAGACACAATTTTTGAATATTTAAAACTGGAGGAGGAAGGGAGGGGGGAGGCGTAACCACCCCTTTTTTCCACCTTTTCCCTTAGTTTTTAAATATCTGTATCTCATTAACAGCTCCAAAGGTTTTTGTCAAATATGCTTTTAGTGTCTTAGAAAAATCGGTTGCACAACACAGTTTTTTTTTTCCCTCCGGAGTCCGTCTTTAAGCTCTGTCTACACTACAGATTTGTATGTGACAAATACTTGTGATATGCCCATATATGAGTGTAATATGACATTATCATGTCCATATATGGGCAAATCGGATACTTGTCACAAAAAAAATTATACTGTAGATAGAGCATTTGTCAATCATTTTTTAGCCACTCAAAAACAAATCTTATGTTCATACTGGTTTACACAGTGTCTCTCCCTCCCTCTCTCTCATCATCATCATCAGTGAAAGTTAAAGCTGAGCACTGGCAGGAATTATTTGATATGTTCTACAAAGTACAAATAAATATTCCAAGATATTTCAGGGATGTTTGAAGCAATAATCGAGAACGGTTAATAATAGATGAATATTTGAAAAAGACCAAACTGTAGAAAATAGAGTATTTAATATCCAGTTTCCAGTGTTTGTATTTTATATTATCCCGTTCCTAAAAATTCATTTAAATACATCTACAATGTCTTAGAATATCTACTTGTACAACAAATCAAGTAATGTTTTCCTCTGGAACCAGGCATTAATTCAAAAGAGAAAAAAAAATTCAATAATCAATAATGTCAAATTATATAATACAGTATTAGAAAATCATGGTTTTCAGTTGATTTAGCATTTGCCTGCTAAATATTTAAAATGAACATGAAATGAATTTCAGAATTCACAGATATATCATAAGTTATTTGAAGGTTTAAATCAAATACAAAAACATTATATATTTTATCAAAAACTTTATAAAATATATCGAAAACAAATGCCGCCATTATGATTCCCTATATACACTGTCATTGGCTAACGCAGGCAGCACTGTAGTATAGTAAGCACTGGATTTAGACAAGGCGTAGGGATAAGCTTGCCTAGATTAGTATAAAAATGTTATTTTCAAAGAGAAAAAATCGGAAATCCATTTCATGTCCACTTTATCATTATTGGGGTTTTTTTTTTGTTTTTTTTTTATCATAAAGACAGAAACAATAAATCAGGAATATTTACTTAAATCCTCTAAAAATGAATTGTTGATTTTAAGGATTAATTATATGAAGGTTAAGTGAAATTGTACTTAAATGAATGATTGATTTGTGTTTGTGTGTCTACATGATTATTAAGGGAGAGGACAGACAACAAAAAGAAATAACAGAGAGGCAAGAAGTTGAATATGGTATAGATTAGACAAAAGGAGTAGAACAAAATAGGGGAGAAATTTGATGTTTTTCTTTCGAACCTGATAACCGAGTAAACCATCTTCTAGCTTATCTGGGTCTTCTTTAAATTGACGTTTCTGAGGTGGTGGTGGTTGTTGCTGCTGGGGCAGTGGCTGTTGCTGCTGCTGTTGGACAGTCTGTAACTCCTTTGGGGGTAGGTAGACGCTGAGTTGAGGCATATGAGCCACCACAGGCTGGGGTGGTTGCTGTTGATGTTGGATAAGGCGGGGACGTGGTGCTTGATTCATTGGATGTTGCACTACAGAGTGTAATGCGCCAGGAGCATTGACCACAGCTGCCACCGACACTGGTATCTACATAAACATGGTAACGAAAGACAACACGGCTGTATTACTTCATTGACACACAGTCAAGTTAACATGATTTGTGGTGTAAACATTACAGCAAACGTAATAATGTTTACTAATCTAACAAGATTAGCATTGTAAACATAATAACATTTATCTTGCTTTGCAATTTTCATCCTCCTCTAACCAAACATAAATTGTCAATTATGGAGTGGTCATGAACTATTACTGAAATCCCATTATGTGACTCGGGGAGTTTTGTGGAGCAGAAGGAAAAAAAGCTGACATTGCCTACATTTAAGCTGAGTGCATCAAAAGGGGGATCCAATAAAATATCAATGTTGACAAAAAGTTGTTAAAATGCTGTCCAATCCTGAGGCCCTGGTTTTAAATTGTGTCACACAGCATTTCTTATCAAGACTAAAAAATTCCCCAAGCCTCATTATATAGAGCACCATATTATTTCATATACTTAAGAGGGGCTCTTGAATTATCATGAGAAAAATACTAAAAACCCCACCTAGCCTATCAAATGAAAAGTTGAAGAGGACTGCATACTTACATGTGTAGTCACAATCTGTTGAGACTGAGCTAGTTGTGGAGGTTGAACAGATACCTGTGTTGGTACTTGGCCTGGGTGTGGCATATGCTGTAGTTGTACCATCTGTCCTGGACCTGGTTGAATGGCTTGGGTAAGTTGAGGAGGTTGGACTAATACTGACGATAGGCTCAGAGGTTGTTGGGCTAGCTGCGTAGCCTGGGCTAGTGTAGTAGCTGCTATTACTGTAATTAAAAAATCATTAAAAGCTTATTGTTAAGGAAAAAATACTGTTGAATGTTTGATTTTCCAATTCCAGGTAAGAAACTTGTAGGTTATAGAGAATTAAACCTGTTTTCCACTAGACAAATTTATTTTCACGAATCGAAAACGTCGGTTTGCTTCCTGAGCTCTGATTGGTTGAGCATTTTTTTTGCTTCGCAGAAAGTAGAAACTATGATTTCGCAGAAGAGAAAAACTCTGATAGAAATGTGGATGCGCATGAACTGACATTTTTGATTCGTGCAAATAAATTGGCTTATTGGAAAACAGGCTTCGTAGAGGCCGAGTTTCATCCTCGAATAGGCAAGTGTAGTAAAAGTTAACAATCGGAGGATTTTGGCGGTGCAGGGATCCATGCTTAATGTAAATTCCAGATTACATAACATACACATTGCACTGCATTATTAAATAAAATAAACTGAATAAACAAGATGTTCACAAGTAATCAGACAAATTGCTCACCTGTTTGTGTACGTGGATTGGATGAGGGGATGCGAACTGTTGCTGTGCTAACCTGCACTCGTATCTGCCTAGGGGCCTGGGGCATCTGGGGCACCAGCTGCTGCATCTGAGGCACTTGTGGCTGTGCCATTGCTGCTGTCAGTGTTGCCTGTTGCTGGGCAGTTGCTTGGGCTAGTTGGACATGTTGTCCGACTGAAGGCATTTGGATTTGTTGTTGTTGAATTGTTTGGACACTTTGTACAGTGGGCATTTGTACCGTTTGTAAATTTACTACACCTACAAAATCGGAATTAATATAAGAATTGTTAAATAAATTATAATATATCCGTTTTGACAATCAAATAGGACACAATTTCCAAATACAGTTGAACCCCCTCCTTTTGGATACCCCTATTAAGGGGACACTTTTTTTGGCTGTAAAGTGAGGAAATTGCATATTCAACACAACAGCCAACCACTATTAAAGAGACACCCTATTAAGAAGACACATTTTTAGGTCTCGATAGTGTCCTCTTGATAGGGGTTCTACTGTAATCTCAATTACACACATAGAATTATGTTGGCCAAAGCAGTAGACCCAAAATCTTTCTGAAGAAATGGGACTGTTCGCCTGGTCATTACTGTAGGAGGTCAGTATCGACTATGAATTTATAGTCTTGAAAATCCAAGCCTTCTTCAACCTCCAAAGTTGTAGAATATTTTTAAAAGAATATCTTTAGACTCACCAGACGGGCTAACAACAGGCTGCACCCTGATAGGAGGTGAAATAATTTGACTCTGTAATCGACTGTACTCTCCATGAACCTTCAAAGAGAAAAGAAAACACATTTTTTTGCTACAATTTTGGAAAAAATCAAAACAAACTTCATCATATGATAAAATAATCTAAACAAAGTTCAAAGCATCGTCAACATCCAATCTCTCTACTTCATTTCTGTTATTAATACTGAAGATACTAAATTGTTAGCCTATGTAAAATTGTTCAGTACCTTTTTCAAAAAAACCTGAATAGAAAAGATTATTGTTGGTTCTTTTTTAAAATTGTTTTTCTCAAGAAAAGGAAAACTTTACCGTTTGAATAAGGTTGTCACATAATTTCTTCGCTGCCTCTATAGATTCTATTTTAGGATGACTAAGGTGTATGTACATAGGTTCAAATGCCTCTCGTCCTGATATAGGATCAGGAGTACCAGAGCCTTTCCCTCGTAATGTTACATTCACTCCAGTCTCTGTTCGTATGTGCATAAGAAAGGACCCCTAAATGTTGAATTGAAGGAAGAATCATTACTTGAACATGCCATATGTTAGCATAATGGGTAAAAAAAAACAAGTATATAATCCATCAATATATTTGCATTACATTCTAAATAATAGAAATTACTAATTGCAAATATATTATACAAGAGACAAAGAAAATTCCAATAAAAATGTTTCAGAGAAGAAACATAAAGGAAATCGAAAGGAATGAAATCATCAAATATAAATTTATAGATAAAAAAGTGTGAAAAGAGGAAGATCTTATATAAGACTCTTCAGCTTGTATATATTTGTAAAAAAAAATACACATCTCTATGGAATATATCATGTATTATATAGAAATGCAATACAAAATAAATTAGATATGAATAATATTTACAAACACAAATTAAATAACAGGATTATGGATAAAAATTAAAACTCACGCCTGGTCCGAGTATCTTTTCCTTGACACTGTATGATGGGTGCGCATGGTCTAGTCCAATGAAAATCTTTTCTTGAATCATGTGCTAACGATGTCGTAATATGTAAATTTAAAAAAAAATTTCAGATCTAAAATATACAACAGTAACATTCCTTTTAACGCTAAGTAATAAATTGTGTAATGCAAATATAGTTTTTTCACACTTAAAAAAAAATTGTGTTACACTGCTCAAAACCAAAACTGTAAACAGAAACTCACCACTGGTTGAGAAGGAACCCTTGGGGGTGTGAATGTCATTAAGGGGGGTGGAACCTGCCTATTTCCCTGACTGACTCCACCTGGGCCTGAAAGGCCAGGCCTAACTGGTACTGGTTCAAACCGGCTAGGCCCAAGCCTACTCCTTCCTCTCCCCTTTGATGGTTGCATATTATCAGCTATGATCTCTCGAATACTCATCACAGCTCCTAAAGTAAGAAAGGCAAGCAATATTATACAGTAATATTATTATCTTGACTTCAGTATACACTACATGCACATACATTTATTGACAATGGATTCAGGTTAATATACATCAGGTGACTAATCAATATAAAATACAAACAAAAAAAATCAATATCAAATATTATTATTACCGCCGCAAGGAGGATATATTTTCATCGGATTTTCTGTGCGTTGGTGTGTTTATGTGTGTGTGTATGTGTGTGTGTTTGTTTGTTAGCTGCCTCCAGCCTACAGTTTTAGGTCTACATGAATCAGATTTTCATAAACGATTCCTGACACTGAATGGAAGGTTCCTTTTTATAATGGTAATGATCCAGAGTGGGGTGTGGATGTGAGGACCATTTAAAGAAACACACCCTAAACTAGATCTCTAAAGCTAACCAAGTTACAAGCAAGACGTTATAAAATTTTGGTGGTGATCCAGATTCGGGTGTGAATTTGGGTGGAGGGGTTCATTACAATGCATCCCAGACCTTAATATCCTAAAAACTGATCAATAGATCTCAATGGAACTTTCTAGAATGGTTTGTCATGGTCCAAGGAACAATTATCATATTAGTTGTCTAGTAAGTTATGATGTTGGCTTTGTAAGCAGAAAGGTCCTTTTGAAATTCCGGTGGAGATTGAGAATCTGTTTTCATTATTTTTTTTCAAAAGAAAAAGATGCATGGAAATTTTAAATTATATAGGGCGAAATTATGTTGTGGTTGGAGGTATACGCTCTAGGTAATATTGAATTTGACATAAAATAGTATGGTAGTTAGAATCTTTAGAATAATTTCATTATACTGTTGTTACTATTCTGTTACATCATGTAGCACAATATAACAAACAAAAGTTAATTCTAGTATAGTACATCTTACCATTCCCATACACATTTTCCAATTTTAATTGGCGGTCAAATTCTTAAAACTTAGCCCTATTTTCAACATGAAGAATACTGATGAAAAATCACAAAAAAAAGCACAGGCATAAAAGAAGATGGGAAGTTTGGACAATAGTGTGCTGACGACATCTCTGTAAAAACAAAGTTAAATAAACTGTGCCACAGAAGAAATACAATACGTACTGTCTACTGCTTCTTTATCTTGTCCTTGAACGCAGAGGTATAGAGGGCGTTCTCTGTAATATAAGAGTTGGAATAGTTTAATGTATTACACTTAAATAACATGACAAGTAAGTAACAAAACAAAGAGTATAGTTTAATAAGCCAAGTCCCATTAAGACAAGAATAAATCTTGAGATGATGTTGTATGTACAAAGGCAAGCCTTATATGGACACAAATTATTATTTTCATAAGGTAAACATTCAACTTACCCCATGTTGTTTTTAGCCCTATCTGCAAATGACATGTATCGGCCTCGTGTTGATACGGCGACACCAGTCATTTTACTTATCTGTAATAATATAGAGAAGGTAAATATAAAAAAGCATATCGGAATAGAACAATAAGTATTCTCTCATAGTAACAATTTTAAGAACCAAAACATGTGACTCGAGTAATTAAAAGCTAAGGAGAATGGATTAAACAAAAGAGAGATAATGGCAATTGAGATGCAATGGAGATTCTGAACTCCACTCTGCCATCATATTTTTACCCAGAATAAGTCACTTGACCATAATTAGATATAATTTTGATGATGATGTCGATAACAATCAATACAACAAATTTAATGGCGATACCAATCACCACATAATTTTAAAATATGATACCAATCAACCATTAATCAATGTTCAAAATGAAAATGCTGAATCTTGGATCTATACACTTACATCATCCTGTGTGCAGCCTCTAGTGAGCAGGTTGCGGCAGTGGATAGGTACATCATTAATTTCAACCTCTGCCACAATCTGATCCTCTTTCTTCTGTTGATTTGCATTTGTCTACCAAAATAATAAATGGTTAATTTACTTGGAAATTGTACAAATTTTCTCCTTGAACTCTACTGATAAAAATTATTATCATACTAATACAAATTCAATATATTTCCCCCAGCCAAAAAACACACATATGAAATAAAGCAATTAATAATCACTGGACAGACAACCCTTGATGTTTCATTTTAACAAGCAGGTGAATCAAAGTAAAAATGAAATATGACATCAACTTATGAGAAAATTTAAAATGTATAATTAATTATGGAGTCATCAAAACACAATTTTTTAATGGGGAGTATTTAAACATAGCTTTTTACCTTAGTTTTACTGGTAACTGCTGTCGGTAATTTCAATTTTCCTTTGGAAATCAACATGGCATTTATTTTGGCTGCAGCAACAGAAGCAGCTTCTAAGCTACTACCTGATTGGTTGTCTGCCAATTGCATTTGTTGTTGATGTTGTAGTGATGAAAGACTTGCGTTGGATGAAGGTGTGTCCCATTTACTTCTACGACGCTGTTGACTACAATAAACAATGCGATTGTAAAGTTCTGATACACAGGATCTAACTTTACTTAATAATTAAATGACCGATAAATTATGTACAATAATATTACTAAAGACGTGAAAGTTATACTAAAAACATCTTTTAGGGGAAATTCATTTTTTTACTATATGATTTGTATATGATATATAGATTGACCTGTCATTGGCTAATGGGAACTTACTCATTTGCCATTTTGCAATGTATCTTCTACTTCAGACTACCTATATTCAAATTTAATTTCTGAAAGCAAAAAAAAAAAAAAAAAAATGAAACATCAAAAAAAAAAAAACATGAAACATCAAGTTGGGAATTTCAGTAACAGTTTATTTTACATGTAAATATTATCGTATAATCCTGGGTACAAGACGACCCCGAGTTTGATAAGATTTTTGGACAATTTTTGTATCTCGGGCATATCAGATGACTCTACAGTAATTGTTTCACCATCGGAATTCTCACGTTTTGCTGCTCTTTATGGTCTTGATAATGCATCTAGTTGGCTGAAAACAGAGCCAAATGTAGGGCTAATCTTCAAATACTGTACTGTAATACCATTTTATGGACTGTTTAATGTTCATCAAAATCTTCTTTTGTAGCATTTAAAATTGCGTTCATTCATACAACAGTTATTGGCTTCATTTCAGAAGTAAATTTGCATGTTACGGATGATCCGCACATAAGGTGACCATGATTTAAATCAAAAATTTGTACAGTATGCGCTTATAAGACAACCCCCAGTTTTTCGATCGTAATTTGCTATTTCAAGCCTTGTCTTATGCGAGAATATACAGTAAGTGATGAGTGACAGTAAAAAGTGATCTGCAGATGGGTTTTTTTTGTAACATTGGCAGACCTACATAGCCTAGACATGATGTCTCCTCTCTCTCTCTCTGCACGTGTTATGCTACGCGATGACACATATTGCGGCCTAGAGTGGCTCAGTCTCTACCTAGCCTAGGGTATTTAAACACTTGAGGCACAGTCTTATTGAATTACATCAAAAATTACACTACATCAATTTAATATATATATTAATCGGTGATATTTTCATAATGTTAATTGACACCAACTGGATTTTGAAAGATTCTAGGTGCGATTTTCTCACAGCCTTAAACAATTAATTTATAATGACAGCCTTATAATGGTTTATGGATTTTACATTGCGGGGCAAGTCAGGCTTATTACGCTATGCTTGGTAGTGCAGAGAATACGGCTCATAGGCCATGGGGATTTGGCTTAGGGCACCTCAAAGTAAAATTTTATGTTGTTTTTATCCTCTATAGTTTTTGATAAATTCAAATTTACTTTTATTTTGTAGAGGAATAATTTGTGCTCATGTGGAGATACATTTTTTATTCAGGCTGTTGATTTAGTATTTTTAATATTTTTTCAAAATTACTCATAAAATCTGTTTATAAATAAGAAATCAATAAATCAAATTAAATCAATTAAAAGTAATTTTTTACAACACTAAATAATCGCTTATTTAGAAAATTTGTTTTTATCATCTTTCAATTGGTAATAATAATTATTGTATTACTCTTATAGAAAAAATGATATTTACCAATATTTCTGACACTAAAAAAATCTTAATTAAATTAATCAATTGAATGGATTAATTTGAAAGAAATACAATGCTGTGCAGCATGTGTCTAACCAATGCGGATGCAGACAGCAAACAGCCTCGCTGGTACATTGTGGTCATGACATGAGTAGAGTGAAAATAACACAAGTCTTATTTCTAGGTAATTATCGCAATGATTCAATAGTCTATTTAATGATTGAAATACATACTAGGCCTAAGTCAGGCTAGGCCTACTGTAGAAAATTTAATTACATTTAATAAGAACGGTAAACAGTATTATACACACGCTATTTCCGAGTGCTGAAAGTTGAATGCACATTGACATACATTTAACCAGAATCGATAAAATTACATGACGAATAATGCAAGTTTATTAAAGTATGACTGCAATTGCGTTATCTATTTCACGTAAATATATCGTTAATAATACTGATTTGTTTACTATCACGTAAATATATCCACTTCCTTATTAATATTATAGGACAAGGCCTACCCCAACCCACTTTAGTGTTGGCCTAGGCGTAGGTAGTCTACTAAACTAGGCCTACATTACTGTAACTACCCTTCCTAGCCTAGGATACAGTAGCTGCCCAGCTAGGCCTAAGAGAAAAGCCTAGGCGCTTGGTTGGGCACTTGCCGCCTGTCTACAGCTGTAACCATCAGTGTCTAAGAAGATTACACTAACTAAGCCTTGCATCACTTCAGACGCGTCACAAAATATATTTACTTACGTTTATATGTTCTCTGCAGCAAGAAAAATATACAGTACTTAGTATGCATTTGGATACATACAAATAAAACCGTAAATTTAAGCGTTTTCAGTTCAGAGTACTGAGGTACCTACAAAATCTATCTCGTAATCGTATTCAATATTGAAAGAGAGAAAAAAAAAGAAAATGGAAGCAGATGTGTTTGCAGAGTAGTGTCATATTTCAATGAAATGTGTAATTGTTTTTGTTTCGTAAAAACAGGGAGTATAACAACACTTTTTTTAAAGAAAATAATTTTGTATATATGAGATCATTATCATTTTACTTTAGTTAATCATAATTAAATTATTCAAAATAAAAATGATTGAATGAATTTGGACTGGTAGCAATAAATGATATTATAAAAATTAGTTTGTGGGCGATTCTGGCAATTATTCTAAGAGCTTGTTCCAAATAGGTGGCGGCAGACAGTAAAAATATGTACGGGCAGGCGCGGCGCGGGCAGAGCAGGTGGTACGGAGTTGGTTGGTAGTCGTAGTTGCATTGCAGCAGGTTGCAGTGCAGAGCGAGATATGTATAGGTAACTTGGCCTGGGCTTAGCGAAGGGATGGTGTAAATTACGACCAATTTAAATGAAAAATAACAATCATGGCCCTGTTTTGGAGGTCTGGGCGTAGTGAATCTCTGCATCATAAACATAAGGTGAAGGTTAAATGTGCTCAAGAGTTTTTTTTTATGTTCCTGGGTTAGGCCAAGCCTAGGCCTAGCCCAACAACACATTCATGGCACGCTGCGTGATAGTGATACACAGGGTACGATTATGCCTAGGCTAGGCCTAGCATATTATTGCGAATATGCTGTAGGAGCGAGGAATTTATTGAATAAACACTTTTATATCAATAACACAGTCTGATACACAAAACAAATATAAAATTATTTTAAAAAGTATCAGTAAATCAGCTATTTTAAAATCTTTCTGTAAAGAAGCCCCTTTAGGCTTTGTTGTTTGGCTTGGCTTGACAAATGACAAAAGCTTTTAAATTGCAATTGATCTGACTCTTCAAAAGATCACTTAAATGTTTTGAACTCTCTGCCTCCTATTATCAAATTCTATATATAAATTAATTCTGGGGAGCCACCCCCATCAAATTAAAAAAATGAGAACATCTGTTAAAAAATATATTTACTGTAAGTTTACTTAAGAGAGCTATTCATTATTCAGAATAATTATTGTTTATTTATATAAAATAGTTGCATCTTCCTGGGACTTGATACAATTATACACTTTTTTTTATAAGAACACATTTTATAAGAACACTGAGGCTGAAATTGCTTAAATTTTAAGAACAAAATAAGAACAAATTGAGGCTGAGGTAAAATGTCAAATGAGATTTTTATTAAAAAAACTAGAAAAACCAGAAAATTATATCTACCTTATGTGTGACTATGTAATACCCTCTATAATGCAGTACAGTAGGTGTACCTCCCTGTCATTTGGGGCCATTTTTACCAGAACCCTTTTTCTGTGGCCATTTTTTAGGGGCCTTTTATTTAGGGACCATTTTTGCCAGGGCCACCTTTACCTACATTCTAGTACAGTGGATAATGCTGTACTGTACAATAATAATTTTTTATGTTTGGAAAGTGTGTAACATAAGAACAAAATAATAACATTTTGAGCCTGAAATCGGACAAAAAAAAGCAGGACTGAGCCTTGGCAAAATTTTACGGGTTCTTATAAAAAAAAAAGTGTATGTAATTAATATTTCATCATGTTTGTGAAATAAAAATCACATGAAGTCCATCATGTAATATTTTTAAAAAATACATGCAGATGGCATGTTACTTTTTGTCTGTCTTTCTCTTCAGATCTCGGACACAGGTTTATTAATTTCCCATATTTTTCCCCAACTCATAATAAATAATTTTGGCTACTTTCAGAATACAGTGCCAGTGGTGGAAAACAACCAGCAGTTAAATCCATTCACCGAAATTAATGTCTTCACAGACCACACAGATATAGTGCGACACTTATTACAAGTTGATGCTACAAGGTAAAGCAGGGACATCAAATAATCATTCAATCAGACTTACTTCATTATGTTGAGGTGCAAATCCAACACATTATTTTATTACCTGTTTCATAAGATTGATAGCAAAGGCAACAAACCTCAGAACAAAAAATAGCTATGACAATAGCAAAAAATTAATTTAAAAAAAAAAAATTTTAAATTACGTAACAAATCAGAAAATGTTCTTTTGAAACACTACAAATAGAGGAATATCAAGTTAGTACCTACTCGGTAAACTGATAAAACAACAATGACAAGCACCATTATGTATTCTAAGCTAAAACTGAATTGTATTTAACACGTTGGCTGCCAGCGATGAGTATACTCGTCCCGCAGGGTGTTGCTGAAGGCGCTAGGGACGACTATACTTGTCAAAATCGGGTTAACATTCTACCGTTTATTACTTCTTTGTTATACATTGTAGAACCACAGACTTAACGGCTGGTAAAATAACTGATGTATGTTGTGTTATCTTTCCGGCAGTACACTCGATTGCATGAGTGGGGTGCCCTCTGAACATATAACAACCCATGCAAAAAGCGGACGAGATAACTCGTACTTGGCAGAGACAATAAAAAATGCTATTCTAGTGCCGGCGACGAGTTTACTCATCCCCATATATTTTCCCGCCAATTTATTAGACACACTATTTTGATAATACTGTATATGACTAGATAGAATTTCAAAAAAGTGTGTTTGCACACTTATACTTGTTCTGGCACATAGGAAGGAACCTAATGTCTTAAGTATATTATTATATCAACAACTATGTACAGTATTAAGCCCTGTCCAGGCTATTAAATTTGACTTTACAAAAACATGTGACATGCCCAAATATGGTCATGATGACATCACATCATGATCATATATATGCACATCATGACTATTTAATTTATATATGTAAATTATATAGTCATGATGTGCATATATATGACTATATAATTTATATGCACATCATGACTATAATTTATATAAATCATCATGACTATAATTTAAAATAAAATTTGTTGTGTAAGGGTTCCGATGGCGGACAATCTTGATTTTTAATAATTTTAAATCTCTCTTTTTTCTGCGCTACTGCCGTCGCTGATACTTATTTTGCTGTCGCTGTTTGCTGGTATCATTTATTGTTGTTCTCATGGAGTTTCTGGGAATATCCCAGAAACTCCATGAGAATAACAGTATATTGTTCCTTGCGTGCTGCGCTGTTCTGCTGTTACTGTTTTTAATTGTTTTTACTTCCAGGGATCAGAGATTTATTTATATATTTTATGTATCCTAAAATCAGTGGAGAAACTTTATACAGCAATTTAGTTTGCTTTTTGTTTATCCTGTCTCTGATTTTGGGTACTGTTATTTCTGTGTGTTTTGTTCTCTGTTTGACGAAATAAATGAAATGAAAATGAAATGAAACAACCTCAGGGCGATAAATAAACTGAACTGACACTGTCTTACAAAAAGTTAAAGTAAACTGATTTAATATAATATAGCATATTATGAATTTTCCAATTATATAGAAAAATTGCCTTGTCAAAACTATTACATTAAAAGACGGCGATTGACATATAAAGCAATTAGTAGAGCATGCATCGTACACTAGTGGAAAATTATTATACTTAGGTTAGATTTAGTGCATTCAAAAATGTCCTTCCGGCCTTGCGGGCCCTCAGGAAATTTTTTCAAGCATTAAATCTAACCTAAGTATAATAATTTTCCTATAGTGTACTATGCGGAGCTCTACTGATTGCTTAATAGGTTCTACATTATTATTATTATTAGTACATTATGTACTGGGAGGTCTTAGATACTCTGTGGCCTCTACTGTATAATAAAAAGTGATATGAAATATTTACCCATGTGATACTATATTGTCATAAATGATATTAATAAATATTTTTAGTATATTTATTTATTATAATATATTTATTATTTATTTCCATAGGTATTCTGTGGCCTCTATACTGTATAATAAAAAATGGGATATGAAATATTTACCCATGATACTATATTGTCATAAATAATATTAATAAATATTTTTATCATTTATTGTAATATATTTATTATTTATTTTCATAATTGTATATTTTCTACAATATATTTACAGTATATACATACACAAATATATTATAAAATTGTATATATATTTATTATATTTATTTACAAATTTAGTATATTTATTACAATTTTATTTTATATTATATATATTTTTATGATATATTATATTTATTATATTTTATATTTATATTATCCAGTTATTTATATTTTTATTACAGGTATTATATAATCTTTTATTTTATTACTTTATATATTTATTATATTTTATATTGTATTAACCTTTTATTTTGATTTGTCATTCTTCTCCCAGTGTTTAGTCAGTATTCCATCAAGTAATTTGTTTTGTTCAGCATGTGAACAGCTATGTTTATGGAACTCTGATTGGGAAATTGAACATAGGATTAAACCAAACGAAGATGGTAAAGACATAATAACTTTTATTGTTATTAACACAACAGTTAAGTGTCTGAAGCTACAAACATGAATGAAATACAAGAAGTATTCCTTCTAAAACTATTTGCTTCATCATGAACATAAAAACAATGGCAAACAATAAAATCAACAGAAGGGTTCACCAAAAGTAAATTTCTCTCAAAGTTATTTTCTCTAAAGCACTGGTTATCACTATTCTGACAAAGAAACACTAATGATTGAATCAACAAAGTTTCTGAGGACAATAAACTAATAACACAACTCACGTAAGCAGTATCTGTACCAATAAATTTGATCCATTTAATGGTTCATCAATCATACTTCTGAGCTACAACTTCATGCAATTACCTGTCACAATGCCAAAATGTTCATCCAAATCTGTTATGTTTCAGTACAAATCAACCATGTGTTACAGCTGTCAGACAACAGGCTTGTTGTGTCTGTTGCTAGTGAACTAATGGTGTATAAAGTGGTGTCAAGTGTGGGACAAGATACCGGTTTCCAGTTACAATTGCTTAAGAACTGCTTGCCACCGCACCGTGAGAACATAAGATGTCTTGTAAATATTTCGGGTAAATATTTGTGATTTGTTGACTGAAAGTACTGTATTGTATTATCTTTTTTATCTTCTTCATTACAGACATAGTGTAGGTAGTCAGAAAACACATCATCACAAAATAAAGTTATTTTAGGTGATTTTTAACTATTTGAGTGTGATTTTTAGGGCCACTGGGGACACGAGTATTTTTTGGAGAAGCGTGCAACCCTTTTCTCATCCACCCCCCTAGATGCACCACTGCGTATAACTTATGAAATTAAGGGTGGTGATATACCTTTCAAATATTAATTCATTGATATTCCCTGAGAGCAGATTAAAATTGAAACTGATAAATTTTAAAATGACATTTTATCCACTATAGATAGTTGCTTTGGCAGTGCTTCTCTTGATGGTGCTATACGTGTATGGGCCACACGTGCCTTAAATTACACACAAGAATTTAACCAGGTTGAAGACTACAAAGTTCACTGCAACTATCCACACAGCGTGCAGTATCTTCTACCAATGCAGGAGGTATTATAATCAAAACTTGTTCAGGGATTATTCTTGTCAAGGAGATAATATTCAGTGGTGTATCTAGAAGTCTTAAAATGGGGGTGCTGATGTGGGTGGGGGGGGGCGCGCGAAGGCTGTCTCTTATACACATCTACACACACGACTGTTGCTAACTTGCAAAATAATGTGATTTTAGGTGATTTTTAACTATTTGCAAATGATTTTTAGGGGAGGGGCAAATGTTGGGGGGGGTGCGAAATATTTTTGGAGGGGCATGCGCCCCCTCTGCGCACCCCTAGATACACCACTGATAATATTTCATACCCTCCATAAAGAAAGCTTAGTCAAAACAATGGGCTACTAATTTCTATTTACAAAAGTCCTACCCAATACACAAGTTAATTATTTACGTTTGAGGGACTTATTTCTTATGCATGGTGGCAGTATTGCCTACATATATGGGAGGTAAAATATATTTTGCTATGAAAAAAAAAAAAACCCACCCTAGATTTAAACTGGGCAACTCAAACTGTATATTACTTCATTCATATTGTAAAGAGTACATACTTCTCATGAAGATGCATGTACATTATATTTTATAGCTTGTTCAACATTTATAATTTTTATGATTGCAATACAATATACAGACAAACACACACCCATTTGAGTGACATATTGTTGAATTGAATATGTTTATCTTCAAAGGAGATCTTTTGGTAATCATGAGGCGCTTTATAATTTTTTAGCGTTACCTTTTCGCTGCAATAGCCAGTGGATTTTCTCTGTATGATGTCTTCACAGGAAATTGCTTGGTGCATATGCTGAACGCACACTACTCATCCGTCACGTCTCTATCAATGGTATATGGAGGGTAAGTGGTTTATTCATATCTTTACCTGACCATCAGTAATTATAACAACAATATTCATTGAAAGAAAGCTTAAAAACCAAAAGTGTGATATTTTTCATATATTTTATTTTTAGTGAATTCTTAGCAACTTCCTCAGAAGATGGAACAATAAGGCTTTGGAGCTCATATGAGAAGAGCATTCCAGCAAGTGACTTAAGTGTAAGCTCAGACCCTGTGTTCCAGAGGGAAATAAGCAGCTTGTAAGACATTCTTATTTCTTTATTAAGTTGTGTTCTTTACTAATTATAAATTGTGCAAATGAAATTATGATTATACTGATGTAAGATTGAGTGCATTTGGTTCCCAACCTCGAGGTCAGGGTTTCAATTCATTGCTGAGTGTCCTTGAGCAAGGCACTTTACCTGCATTGATTCTCTCCACCCAGGAGTATAAATGGGTGCCTGGTGGAGTTGCTTGCAGCAACACTTAAGCATGTGTACTCAATGACCATGGAAAACAAAACGCTTTGTAAGGAATAGGCGCTATATGAAAATACGAACTATAAAGAAAATGCTTTGATAGAGAGTCACATTGTTCCTTCCAGTAATTGGTGTATGTAACGTTTTGGATATAATAATAACAATAAAAAATTGCTTTATTTTAACATGGGAAAACTTGTTTCAGCAAAAGTTGTTGTTCTACAAGTCTGTGTAGAAAAGAACTTAAAAAACAAATTGAAAAGCAAGTAAATAAAAAACAGTACCTTAAAGCTACCCTTAACAACTGTACAACTTAAAAAAACATAAGAAAACATAACAACAATAATTCTTAATATAATTATGGGAATGTCAACATTCTGTAACCATGATCCTCCAGAAACTCAGACTCTCAGACCCCCAGCAGCTCTACCATGGATTTCTCACAACCTGGACACTTAGAGACCTGAAATTCCTTGGTTACAAAAGGTCCAGGCTGTGAAAAACACCGACAGCAGATGAAATATTTAAATTTACAGTACTGTAAAATTATTGTAGATTTTAAAAATAATCAACATTAAGTACCACAGTTGTATCATACAATTTAAATCATAATTGTATCATTTGCTAATGATTAAGTCATGAGTTTTTTTATACACATGATTTAAATATTTTAAATCATGTTTTTAGATACTGAAAGCATAACCCTGTGATTGGTTGTTTCTCTTTGTTTAGTTTTCAGACAACTAGGCCATCAGCTAAGCATGGAAGGCAGACGTATCAGCCAAGTTTGCTAGGGGAATGTGTTGCGCACTCAGGGGGGATCAACACGTTTCTGGACTACGGTCAGGAAGGACTTGTTTCCTGTGGTGCTGACTCCCTGCTCATTTTGTGGAAGGTAAAAGCATGTAGGTGACGTAAGGGGAAGGACTGTGGCCATGGTAGGGGAACAAACAAGTATGGTGCCTCAGAGATTAGCATTTGGAGTGAATGTTGTCAGGTTCGAATCCTGCCAAAACTGCACTTTGTTGCGTGAAACTTTTCTCTAGTTACCTTTCCCTTTGGATTGGAAATTAAGCTGATGTTCCCATGTATATAATGCATTTGTGCGGGAATAAAGAGCATATAAGTATTATTATACTATTCATAAAAGTGTTTAGATTGTCCCCTGCTGAACTGACTGGTCATGTTTGTATAATTTGTGTCCATTTAATCGCTCATCCCTTTGTTCATTTGTTTAGCAAAAAATAGTTTGCAGTGGTTTGTATAGTATAATATGACAAAATGCTTTCTTATTCTTTCAGGATGGTGTAAGACAGTCCTGTAAAAGAAATAAACTCATAAGAGAAAATTTGTTCTTGAATGGATTTAAAGATGATTGCTACAGAACACTAAATACAGGGCTGGAAAAAGTGCATGACCAGGCGACCGACAGTCATAGGCAGCATGAGTCTCCCGGAGGCATTTGGGGGGTGGGGGGAATTTAAAGAAATAAGCTATTGGGCTACAGATAACATTTGGGACTGGAGGAATTTTATCACAACTTTCATGGGTGGAGACACAAAAAATTATTTACCAGGCCTAAATAAATATATTGGAAATAAGAACTACAGTACATCGGAGAGCACAGTCCTATTCGAAAATATGTCACACCCCTAGTTTTGACATGGAAGGTGCAGACGTTGTCAAGGAATTGTGCCTGCTGTACTCTGGTCTAGTGAAAGTCCAGTGCTCTCTGCAATGTTAAACTTAAGAAGAAAATGTGGCTGCTGCAATTTGTAATGGCTGCATACAGGCTGGGTATTCATTTCCACTTTATTTCATAGAAATACTTACTATTTATGTGTATAATACACATGTATTTTATGTCAAGCACTGACAAAGACCACAGGAGCCCAAATATTCATTTCAATAAATGTTAGTGTATCTAATGTCAACATTTTACGTCTCTGACTTTGTGTCACCGTTACGCAGTACTATAAACGTATATATGTATATAATCTCCAGCGCTTCTATTACCCTTCGGACATTCAAATTGATATTAGGGTGCAAGATCTCCCAAGAATTGGGAGATAGTATAGGTCTTTTGTTGGCTGTTGCTTTGTAACATACGATGTTAGTCCACTGATGAAGCCCTAACCGGCGAAACATTTGGAAAAAACCTGAAGTTTACAACATATTATGCCTTTGAAGTCTTCTTTGTTCATATTCAACCAAGGCATGGGATCAATATTGTATTCATCATATATATATATATATATTTATTAATATAATAAGTCTTTTAATGTATTGTATTTTTTTTTAAATTTGTACATTATATTGATTGTGAAATACAGTATTGATGATGATGATGACAATCAAAAGTCTTGCTACTTTTAACTACTTCCAATAGTAGTGCAATCATTGCTAATCTGCAAGTTATAGTTATGGTAATGGTGTTGCTGAATAGGAAGCAATTTGATTTGATTTGTATTAGCAACGATGAAGATGACATGGTGGTGATGATGATAAAAATTATGAATAAGCACGTTATTTTTGCAGAATAGTATTATGAAAGTGTATTCAATTTATAAGGAATTATTCATGAAAATGAAAAATAACAAATACTTTATTTAATTTAAGATGTTTAATGTTGTATAATTTTAAATAATGTATTGTTTAATAGCTAATATTTATATTGTGATAGAGTTTTATCAAATTTTTATTCAAGTGTTTTAACTTAATTATATATATTTTTTAATTGATATTAGGCTTAATCAGATGTGCCATCACTTTCGTTTAATATTGAATATACAGTATCATCACCATTGTTGTGTAGTACTACAGTATTTTGTGAATTGGACAATAAAATACTATTGAATAAGCTGGCTAATTCAGATTAAGGTGTTTTTTTGTTTTTTTTTGTTTTTTTTTCCAAAAATGAAGCTGAAATGGAGCGAGCTATGTTTGCACTCACTGTGGAGAGATTGTGTTAAGAGTGATGTATTCAATACAACATGTCATATAGGGCAAAACATCACTCCTATGATATTTTCCCGACACAAATTCACATAAACCTATTGCAGCACAATGTCATATACAAAATTATCATGTTGAAATGAGTGGAGCATCACCAAACAAGACAATAAATTGATGGCTGCAACTTGAGTGTTGAATCAATGGGCTTAATCGACTGGTTCATTTCGTTGACCATGATTTTTCGTATTATTTAGTGTTTTTAGTATTATTCACAAAAACTGGATAAAAACTTTAAAATCGACATACTGCCACAATCCGAAGCAACCTTAATAACGCAGCGTGTATTGTGGTAACTATGCAGCCATTTTGTTTTGTCACGTATTTACCAGTTTACTATTCGACTGGTCGTCTTCGTTAAGTAGGATTTTACCGCTGCGCAAAGAACAACCAGTCGAATATGACCAATGATCACTAGAGTGTTATGAGAGAAGACATTCACTCAGAAGCATTTTTGTACTTATTCCAAAAATCCACGCAAGACACCATCAATAATTTAGTTGAAATTTTAATATTTCTTCATGTTGTTGGTCATTGTCACTGGTGGACAAAAATTGTTTGTTACCATGATAACTAAAGTTTGGTAAGACTGGTTTCAAATTACTACTCATCAATTCTCAGAGAAAAATCATGCTGTGGGGATGCTATGCTTTTTTCTGCGCAGCATAAAAGGATCATTTATAGTTTTGATTGCCAATCCCTAATATTGTGGTCTAAAAGCACAATTTGGACCTTACAAAGCCATAAAAACTCTGTCAACCCTACCGAGGATTTTTTTTCCAGGTCTCGGAACAAGGCTCTAGTCAGCCCCTTGGTTTGGACCCCAGTCCAAAATGTCAGACCCCTTGGTGGCAAATCATGTCTGCCACCACAGACCTGATGATGTCACATTACACCCATACATGAACAAATCACAGGCAATTTTCATATAAAATAGAGTAGCTGAACTTGGGGTTAGCATTTATGAACAAGAAGTATTTCAGAGGCTTTGGCATAATGCCAGATAACAGTCTTACTGTAGGTACACCTAGGCGACTTTCATCAACAATTATACACATTTGTTAACAACATCCACACATTAAATAAAAGAATGTAAACAATAGACCAAAAATATAAATTTCTGTTCATATATTTTCTTCGTTTGATATATTACATCATGAGATCATGTCTATGTTTCAATAACAATAAAATCACAGCTATCTTTAACCTGATTCTTTAACCTTCACAGCCTTTGGATTGATACAAAGGATACGTAGGGAAAGTGTTACACCATTAAAGAGATGTGGGAAGGCGTGTTACACTATTATTACCAGGCGCAGATCCAGGTGGTTCACCCAGACCGTCCCCCCTCCCCTTTGGAAAGTTAAAAAAATTAAAGAAAAAAAAAAAAAAGAAAAAGAAAAAATTGATCACCCAAAAGGCCTCAGAGGTGGTTTTTGGGGCAATCAATAAAGTATTGTTATCTCGATCGGCCCCCACTTTCGGCCCCCCCCCTTTTGGACATCTCTGGATCCGCCCCTGATTACTACTAGCCAGACACTGGTTTTCAATTCAATTTGTTTTGGGCCCCCATTTTTTGTTGAGTACCCTACTGTACTCAGAAGTACATTACAGTCTCTCATTTTCATCTGCCTCCCTATCTGTGTAACAATTATAGTCCACTAAAAATATTCCAAAAATAAGACATTTCATAAAAATTCCATAAAATTTATGAACGTAAAAGTATATACAAATTAATATAAAAGTATATAAACATAGGAAGAAACTAGTTTTTGAATGAAATTACTGTATTTTCTTGATAACAACCTCACCCACACCCCATCCCCCTTTGAAATAAATCTACAAAGCAACAAAACTTGAGGAATACCATTAAAAAGATGGATAACAATCCAAATTCTAACATGGATTAGTAAGCTATTAATGAACCATATAAAGCTCTGTTCACATATTAAATATTTTGTGACAAAAAATTGGCCATGATGATGTCATATTAGACTACACCCAAATATGGGCATATCACCTTTTTTTTGTCATCATAAGATTTGATAGTGTGGAAGCCCTGTCCACACTATCAAATTTTATTTGACAAAAAACTGTTGTATGCCCATATATAGTCATGATGTGGCTATATATGGTCATAATGTGATGTCATCATGACCATATTTAGGTACAGTATGTCACATGATTTTTTCAAATAATATTTGGCGATAATCTGAACAGGACAGATGGAAAACTGTGTTGCCATATTCACATAAAGATGGACAACTGAATACTTAACAGCAAAAGGCAATGAAATATATCCATTGTAAGACACTATCAAATTTTATATTTGCATTTGCAAGGTGATAAAGATTTCAAGAATTGTGAATATAATTTGGGGAAAACAATCTGACTTAAAATACATTATTAAATAATTCTCTTTCTTTGTACATACTATGGTAATGTTAAATCTTTTATATACAGTTTGTGTTTCATATGAAAATATCTGTAAAAAAATACCATGATTTTCAAAGAATCTCAGATGGTTCACTAACCTCTTCCCTCTATCTGCCTTTACTACTCATCCACATCTTCCTCTCAGCAAGGAAGGGATTCAAATTAATTTTCATTGGTACATGATATTTTATATGTATGCCTTGAACTATTTTCTACATATATAATTTAACATATATTTTACAAAGATAAATACAACATGTTTAAAATCAAAAAGACCTTTTGGCTTCTGTCATTGTCAAGTCTTAATGAAAAGTTTACACCTTAAATGTTTGACTGCTCAAACTGTCGATGATAAGGAATTTTATCCCCCATTACGGTGGCAGATACAAGCAGTTACATTATTAATTTAATGCGAACCTGACTGAACCCTGTCAAATGGGTTGGAGGCGCATAAACATCCTGAGGTGATCCATAACCCTGTCAAGCATCTTGGAGATATAACAATTCTGAGCTGATCCCTAACCTTGTCAAATGGGTTGGTGATTCAAACATCTTAAGATGGTCCCTATTCCAATAGGCGGTTTCACTCAAACAAACTTGGAACTGGATTAAATAAATACTGGTTGGCTCTGGCAAAAACCTTGTTTGTAGGAAAAATTCAAAATTAAGTTTCGGGTATTTCAAAATTTTACATAAGTCTTCTTTAAAACTGTTTATTTGATGGAAATTGGTTAAGTATTAGCAAAGTTATGAATATTTAATTTATTGGAAATTAGCATGAAACTATTAATAAGAACTTATTAATAAGTCCATGATATTAGCCATGTAGGTCTGAGAAAACAGCTTCCAAAATCAACAGTTTAATAATATTGGGATTTGTATTTTTAAAATAAATTTGATACACTTTTCAGTTAGATTAGTAATTAATATTTTACAATCAATCTATCTTTCTTTCATAGGCTGCAAAAAAATTGTGGACATTCTGGGTGCTAGCACGAAACTAGAAACTGCGACAAACGTTGGGTGTTATCAGATCCGGTCATAGATGACCACTTTGGTTTTTTTTACTTTTTCCCTTAAATTCCTAATCCTTTTCAGAAACCCAGATGACAAAACTATAACATTTTTTAAATTATAAAATCCTGATTTCTTGGTCGGTAAAAATACAATCAGAATTTTATAATCTCCTAAAACCGCTCCTTAATAAAATGTCATTACTTCCAATAAGTAATCATTCATGTATACACACCACTATCACAGTTTTATATTCCTTACAATGCATTATTCTTTACAAAACGTTCCATGTTTGCAGGCCAGGAAAAGTCACATGGGTATTTACATACTTTTTTCAGTAGCCAACAAAACCTGTTTGAAGCCTTCAACATTTTCTATTTCATGTAAAACCTAAAAATATATTGGCTGCTGTTCTAGTGAAAATGTAAAAAATATATCTGCCATAATTTCTAACTTGACAGCCCTAAGTTAGGGGTATGGCTGTACTGACTGTCTGCCCACCAGCATCTCAGCCTGTATGTCCATGGAATAATATAAACACTGTCCATGAAGGAATTAGTTTAGAAAACTAATTCCTCCATGCTTATACCAATATGTAATAGCACCAGGCTTATTTCCTCTCTTTCTTTACATCATCGTCAGAGAGATATATTAAATTAACATCAATGATTACTTCGTACAAAAATAAATCTAAAGCTGTGAGATACAGCATTAAAATCATCTTATTCTATTTCTATACAAAGCGATTTGAGTTGGCTCCTAAATTTATATAACAATATAACTCCATAATCATAAACTATCCCTAAAAAATAATGGAATCTTCCAAGTATTTTTTAAATAAATACATTCTTAATTGTATTAAAAAGTTTCAGATTGAGTTTTCATTTGATTCTGTCTTTTCTAGTTTCTTTTCTTGTTCTTTTGCTTCCATGTCTTTCCAATACTTATAATTACTCTGCAGGTGGGCAATAACTTCAGGACAATCGACAAACTCTGAAACATAGAAAAAAAACCATTTTTTTTTGTGTTAAAATACAATGGACACACAGTACCTTTAATAGAAGCCCCCTTTTTTTTGCAACCTTTGGATGGGTTTCTTTTCAAGGCTACTTTTGCAAACTAATGAAAAGGTGGGCTTCTTTTCAAAATGAATGCTGTAAATTTTGGGAATTACTACTATAAAAAAATAAATAGGGCCCCTGTAACACCAGTGTGTATTATGGAGTGTATAAACTGGCATTAAATTACCTAAACTACTGTATAAATCAAGCATGTTTTTAATTAATTTTGTTTCCTTGAAATTCATGTACTGTGTATGTATAGTAAATGTACTATCTTGAAAAGAAGACCAAGCTATCTTGAGAAGAAGCCTATGGGCTTTTTTTCGAGGATACTTTTGCAAACTAAAGAGTGTGGGGGGGGGGGTGCTTAAAGAGTGTGGGGGGGGGGGGTGCTTCAATTAGAGTCAGGCCAAGGTTCATTTCTAATGTCATTACAGGTCAAGTAGTGATTGAGAAACCCCTCACTGATGATTAATATAATTAATCCATGTGCCTATGTATATAATTTAAATATGCAAAGAAAATTAAATTACAACATAACTATATTTGAAGATTATCCTCTACTGAATGTTGATATGTCATGTATTAGTGGGGAGGGGGGCCTTCTTGAGCGACTGGAAGATTGGTTATTTTTCAGATTCAGGGCAGCGCTGTCCCCTTTTCTTTTTAGCTAGTGGGTCATGGCGGTCTCTTTTTGATCCTGAGATCCCCACCAACCCGTATGATTCTCTCACAGAATGTATTTTTTTATTATCTTTTTATTCTTTCCTTTACATTTCTCAATTGCATGCACTACTGTTTTTGCCTATTGAATCAATCAACACTAATTTCATTTTTACCATCGTATCGTATATCATAACGTAACTAAATATACAATGTGATTATCCACAATTTACTTACCATCCCAGAGATCAAACATGTCATTAATAAAATATTCAATAAATGAAGTTTGGGATTTTGGAATGCTACAGGTAACTCTATCAAAGATTGGCATAACAACAGGCAAACCCCGTCGCTTTTCCTCCTCTGTCTAAAAAGACAAAAAAAGTTGCAAATAAAAAGCAAGAAATATAAAAGAATGTAGTGGGAAGAATGAAAGTAGGATTGTAATGGAATGAATTGTAATGAATTCCCATTAAAAACCAATTTCCCTCAAACATGTGGCTCTAGGATATACATTCTGAAGCAATGTTGTCTAACAAGGGGGCTGATAATTTTTTTTTTTTAGTCAGACAAGTCATTACTGATGTGTGGGGACCTCCTGCCTCCTCTGCTGGTACTGCCACTTTTCACTCAAAGGTTTACAAGGATGCCTTGGTCTTAAAATTTGTTAATATTCCAATGTATTATTCTATCCCTTTTTTGTGAATATTCTATTGAAAATTTTGTGATTGTTTAAGCAGATATTGATCGATGATAGCTTTCGTATCAATACAACAAATTAAATTGAAAATCTCTGCATTAGAAAATATTACGTGGTTGAAGGGATAAAACCTATTTTTCAACTATCATAAAGTGAAGTGAGCATATACCTGACTGAAATACTCTTCAGCTATTCTGCCAGCCCATGCGACGCACAATTCCTGAGGCTTTGTGGGATTGGAAACGTCTGCACACTTGATGAGCATGCGTCGTATGAGAGTGCGGTTCTGTGGTGTTACCAGGCAGTCAGATGCGAGTGATGAACCACCAGGAGATGCACTCACCTACGTAGAATCACATCAGCAATGATTATAAAATAATGCAACAATTATAAAAAATGTCAATAATAATAATAATAATGTAACTACTGTAATTATTAAAGAGGCTTGGGTAACAACATATTTTATTTTCAGCGTAATGATAATGATGTTAAATATAAACAAGTGAACACGAACCATTGAGCTGCCATCTTCTGCATTAATCTTGACAAAACTTGTGCTGAATTTGTTGAGATGTTCAAAATGTTTGGTCATTTCAGTGGCTAACACCATATCAATGATGGTTTGCCGTAACAAGCGATAGTCAGTGCTGAAAGAAACCGACTTCCCAATGAGACAAAGATCTAAAACTATCTATTTTTTGCTAATATACAAAATTTAAATTTAAAAAGTCCTTAAGTCTAATGAGTGAACTAATATATACCGTGAAAAACCTCACATGGTTTTGCCATGGAGAGATATAAGGCAGTACATTTAATATAAATTATCTATATTATTTTTATCATCGTCGTTACCATCACCTCATTGCCATACCATTATTAGTTTTTTTTTAATAGTCAAAAGAATACTCACACATCCATGTTCTTGAATATGTTACATCTATCTTCTTTGGTCGTAATTTGGAATGCCAAGGCAGCGTGGTGACTTTCCAACACCGCTCTGTCGGAAAATTTTAAAAATTTGATAAGGGCCAATAAAAAAAAATGATAAGATATCATCTTCAAGTGTTAGGGTTAACTTCATTAAAAACTGTAGGCTTTTGCCCTTTTTCCCATTTCTCATCCGCCATTATCAAACTATGTGCATAATTTTTATTTATTTTATTACTCTTAATTTTATTTTTTCTAAATATTATTTTTATTTAATTAAGTTTCTTCATTTCTTGGAACTGACATTTACTGCTGCTTCACACTCACGGCACAATTTGCTGCAGTGTTCAATTACATACTGATCTACATTTCACCACAGCACAACATTCTCAAATTAATTACTGCTGCCCCATCCATTTCCACTACAGCCGGACACTCAGTGCGTTGTCCGACCGTCGCACGACGAATCCAACTCCACTCCTTGCGAGCACCAGACGACGTGACACCGTCTGCCGATTGTTGGTGGCAGTCAGAACGGATTGTCATTAAAAACGATCAGTAGCGCACGTCATTGCGTTGCATTCTTCACAGGCCGACGAAGCAGGACGACGGCGTGAGTACCCGGCTTAATAAAATGATGATTGATTACTTACGTGTCATTGTAAAGGATAGCTAGTTCGCTCCCTGCATTACATAAGAATGAATTTGTCCTTCCTGGGTGGTCAACATCATGTACTGTTGCCGCAATCAAAGATGCTACTTCGTCATACGTTTGAAAACATTGCTGAAGTTAACAACACAATATAATGTTTAAGTATTATTATTAATACTGTATTATTATAAAACGTTTAAGTATTATTAATACAATTATATAATTCATATATACAGTATATAATTTAGTTAAATTTTATATAATGGTTAAAAACATCCAGAATTCAAGATTTTTTGGTTGGCCGAGTGTGTGCGGCACAAAATTTCTTTTCAGTTGGTCTTACTATTATTTAGTCTGCCATCAGCTTTTTATAAAATAATAAAGTAATAGGTTGGATATACCTTCAGCTTATCCTTATTGAGGAAGTAAGCTGTTGAATGCAGTACGTCGGCAGCATGGGTTGAGTTGTGGTACGGGTTCGAGGAGTGGTAATTAGCCTCAATCACCTGTAACCAGTTGCGTAACACGGTCTCTGAGCAATTCAAATAACTACAGACATTAAACCGCAAAAACACGCTCATCCCAAGGTTTACTAATGGCCTGTAAATAATAAACCAGAAGAAAGTAGAAAATTAATCTAGATTTTAGAGTTCAGGTGGGAAAAACATATATGGGTTGTAATCTAATCAACATAATTTACAAATGTACGAAAAAATACAATAGTACTACAAGATTAATTAAATATAATTAGACAATTGAACATACACATGTAAGTGTCTTATAGACCATTACAACTCTGAGTATCATTCAGCATTTGCTACTGTAAAGCTTTGCCCTCACTATCAGATTTTCTGTAACAAAAACATGTGACATGCCTAAATATGGTCACATGACATCATGATGACATTCTGATGACTTACATCATGACCAATAATAACGAGACATATAATGACCAGAATTGAGCGCAGCAGAAATGTTCCATTACACAGTCCCACAAAGTTTGTTTTAACAATGGGTATGTAATCATACCTAATATTAACAACAATCACAAGCAGAAGAAGAGAATACATCAAAAGGCACAATCACCCACCTTGATTAATCTGTGAACAAGTACAATTAATTAAGAGCAGGAGGAATGTTCAATTATCAATGGAGAGGAAATGGGATTTAAACGGTCAATTTCTCTGAAATTATGTATTTGTTGAAGATTTCGTTTGTAGTACGATGGAAGAATTAGCAATATTAATCAATTCTTATGTACATAGACAGATACATATACATATATAGGAAGGACAGTACGCACCTATTTAGAGTAATTCTTTCTAGTGCAAGAATGTCAAAATCCCAATATGTATCTGTTAGCAGCAACTGCTTAATATCTGGGGCAACTTGGTTGATGTATGTCCCAGAATTGTTTGGCATCAATGATGAAATAACTGCAAAATAGAATTTAATATTAACAAAGAAAATGATATTGAGGAATTTAGTTAAATTTTATATAATCTAAAACTAAAAATAAGTCCTTTTTTACCTATATGTCAAATTCATTTATAATCACTGATATTTAAAAAATGTTTTCATTTTATTCAAGTTCAATTTTCCAACAGCATATCTATACAATATATTGATTATTTTCTTTGTGATACAGGCAGTTTTTGGGTCTTAGCCTCTCTTTCAAAATTAATATTTAAACTTTTTCTTTACAAATTGTACATAAATGAAAGAGAAATAAATGTTATTTTGAATGTTGAATGTATATACAATTACGATGACAGTTGTATAAAATGGGGATGATTGATAAGAAAATAATGATAGGAATCATGTTTGACCTAAATACAAGATAAAGGATGTTGTTATTGCTATGAGCACAGCATACGAATGAGAAGTGTGTCAGCAACCAACCTTTTATTAATCTATTACTTGGGAATATTTAACAAAATCTGCATTTTAAAAATTGAGGTCTCCCTCCAATTAAAGACCACTTTTAAAGAATAGGGTTTTCATGGTCTTTAGCAGCTTTGGTCTCTAATTAGAATAATAAAGATAAAACCTTTGTTAATTTGGGACCACAGAAAATTGGTCTTAAATTGGAGGGGTCTTTAATTGGAGGGAAACAATTCCATGTTCCAGATTTCAGTGACCCTTGTTTGGCTAAAAATAACATGTCTCAGCCACACTTTGCAACAATAGTGTTTAAAAATACATGCAGTCCTCACAAGTTCCATACAAGTTGTTAAAATATATTAAAAAAACAAACCAATAACAAATAATACAGTCTCTAACAGTTAAAGAGCAAACAAAAATCACCTAAAAACTGACCCATCTACCTGCAACTTTAGAATGTTACCATGTTTTTACCACTGTAATATTAATTGTTGCCTTCAAGTCATAAATATCACTGCCCACAGCAAAATACAAAAAGGATGTGTTAAGAAAGCGCATTAAACAAGATCTCCATGAAGTAGCTTTGCCCAACTTGGGAGGTCTGTGTAAATGTATTTGAAGTATTTTGATGAGAAGGAGAATCTCATTTATTCAATACTAGATCCATCCATTTTACTTTAGCACAAAACTGACAACATATTTGCTACAAGCCAACAAATTCAATAAATATTTCACCCTATTCTAAACTGGTAACTCTTGATTACAGCTGTCCAACTTTATCAAAGATCTAAAAAATTCCATTTAGTAAACAGCAACAAAGAAAATAAGATGTTATTATTATAGAATATGAGCATTAAAAAATAAAGACATAATTACATAATATGTAAATTAACCTACCCTTCGGCAAAAACTTCATCATGCTTCGATAGACAGGGTGGCTGATATTATAGATACATGCGTAACTATGTTACAAGACGCAAATGAGGAGGGATCTAGCTTTCGGAAGTCTTAAAGGTACTGAGCACGTGAGAAGTGGTTCAGTGATTAAACACACCTGCCATATTTTGTAACCCGCTTATTTCCTTCCACAAATATAATCAAATTAAACGTTTTCATCACTCTGAAATTAGCAGTTTGATCAAATGAGCGATACTTTAAAAGGATTTTGATTTTCACAGGATTTCCTGCCACAGACTAAACAAATGTTTCTATGTAACAAGAGTGAAAGTTAAATAATATAGTAATTTATAAGAAAAAAAAAACATTCTTGATATTGAACAGATTATCCACAGTCCATCGGAAATTCTTAATAAAAAATTATTCATAAACAGTGATTAAACTATCTAAAATGGCAATCCTCGAATAAAAAAATTGTTTACATTTTAATCAAGTATTATCTGTATTACTATTTATTCATTTGTGGTTTATGTATTTTAACATTTTTTTGGGGTCCCTTGGCTTGCATTCTCCTATTTTCAGTTGATGATGCAAGAGACTTTGATGAAAAAGTGAAGACGACTTTCTTATTGGCAAATTAAGTATGACTTCTCAGAACTTGCAATTTATAGAAACTTATATGACTCAATTAGATATTAGAGGGAAATTACAATTCTTGGTTTGGCATTTCTTGACTAAGCTGTATCTAGTGTGGTACCAGATCAATTGACATGGGGAATGATGGTGAAATAACAATGGTTAAGTGGGGGCTCTGAGAAATTTGTAAACTTTGAAGGCTGATTTCTCAAATGTTCTTTAAACAGCTGTATGTTTTAACTCCTGTAACTTCATAACGAAAAGTTGAATTTAAATTATTATTTTACCATTTTATAACTTTCATTTTACTGCTCAACCCTGTATTAATAACTATAAATTGATTTTTTTTGCAAAGGGTGACTGGTTTGGCTTGTCTTTGCTTCATTATTAGTCTGAAAAGTCTGAAAATATAATAAACTTAAAAACAGTACCTCCACTTGAGTCTAACTCTACTTAAAATGAAGTATTGAAGGTTTGAGAGGAACACAGAATTCTAGTACTAAAACAGATCATACAGATGAACTACACACATCTAGACGACAATATGAATCAAGTTTGTTGATGTTGGTCATAGGCTATGTTGCTGACAGTCTGTTTGCCTCATTAAAATAAGAAGAAATAGATAACCCTTGGTGTTTTCAGCAATCAATCTTAACAATTTGAACCTAAAACATGAACCTAAAGCTGTTAAAATGTATGACAGGTTCCAAAGAATGGAAGATATTGCCCTCATGGAAAATAAAACACTATCACCAACTTACGATCATTAACATTACCTCTGCTGTACATTTTAGCCCCTTAAATTGTTCAAGGTTGTGAGACTTCAATTTTTAACAAAAGGAATATTAAAAACCAAAATATTGTAGTAGATATGTACAAATTATCCAACATACTGATGAAAATTCACCTACAATTACTACTTTTGTTCTTAACCGCTAAAACTTTGCTTATCTATTAAATATTTATTGATGGAAGTACATTGTACATGTGTCAATGTCAATGAAGTAAGTATAAATTCTTGATGATCAAGATTTAACAGAAAAGAAAAACCTGAAAAGAAATGTCTAAATGTATAATCTCATATTACGTTATTATGAACAAATATCTGGCAAGCAATCATGTATGTTGACCTAAGTGAATAATGAGCACAACAAGAGCAGGAAAACTAAGCTTAGCTGTTGGTAAGTCCCCCGGTAGCTTCCTATCTTAACCAAATCAAAGCCAAGGGAGTTATGATTCAGTTACTACACCTGATCCTAGGTAAATTGACTGGCGACTTCCCACTCTGATTAATATGTTTATTCCGGGAGACAAAGCCAACTTTCATATTTACAAAGAACAAGATGAAATAAGATAAATACATCTGACAAAAGATTTATGTTCACAAACCAAACCAAATTCAGTATTGATATTATATATGTTACGAACTATCTGTTTTCTCTCGAAGGTGAATCTATGTGTTATGTAATGTTACAAAATCAAACAAATGCTACTGAAAAAAATTTTTACTTTACATGATACATTTTATGCTGACAATATAGCTGTTGTAGTATGACAAAAAAACCCTGATGGATAGGACTCTATTCATCAGTCTCAAGTACTTCCATGAATAGATTATGTGATAGATGATGGCAGTCAGGAATTCTGGAGAATAAGTAACAGTTTGAGCAAGATTAAAGTAGAAGAGAGAGTTTGAGTAGTGTGCAAAATGGTCAAATTATAAGTGAAACAGCAAAATTTCACAGGAAGAGAATGAGTGCAATGTAATAATACTACAAGTTACCTCTTGTAATAGTAGCCTCTGGTCCAGACATCTTGCGTTGTAATGCAAAACCACTATGCTGAAAAAGAAAACAACAAAAAATTATCACCATCTTTTAGTTTACTATTTTTATAACCTGTATAATTGAGATCTTGGCAATAAAATGAAAGACAAGTAAGTCTCGTTGTTTAGAGATTTATTTTGGGGATGAGGGATTTACTCATGAAAGTGGAAGAAATACTATGCTTCAATTGTTGTTCCGAGTTGTTCCAATGTTTTCTAAAAAAAGATAAGCTTCCGATATTTTCAGATACAACTGACACTAACCTAACGTTTTGTAATTACCGCTTGCTTTCTCTTTCTCTCGTTATGATGAAAATTCGGAAGCTATTCATTAATTTTGACATTCCTAAATAATAAAAACAACTCTTCGTATTTCCTTCAACTGCTAGGTAATTTCCAATGACATTAACATGAATCATCTAGATTCAGTGTTGCTATGCCAACCATCACTATGCAAACAGTTGTCAGCAGTAAATAATAGTCTGAACTGGATTAATGTTGTATAGTTAGTATTCTTAGCCCATTTTCTTCAGCAATTTTTATTTCAATAAACGGATTAATAACAACGAAGAATATATGAAATTGAGTATTTAAACAGTTTGTATGGCTATGTTGCAGTAGATATTTAAATATTAAACATTAAAAAACAACCAATTTTGCATAACCAATTTCTAAACAAATTTAATTTTATACAACACAGCATTTTTAGACACAAAGTTTGTATGCTAATGAGAGCTTTTGGAATGTTGATGGAAAAAAAAAACTCTTTACCTTTAAAACTATTTTAGTTTAGTCCATTGCATTTTCTAAATTTACTTTTAAAATGATAGCAGTTTTGTCTATGATTCAGTTAGGTGTACATTGTATTTTTTCTGTTACATTTTCCCACAAGTAGAACTTTGCTGGTAGTCACGTGAGAACATTCTTTCATTCTCAAAATAAAATTTAAAAAATTGTTTAACATGGAATTAAACTTAGGTAAGTTGTTGAAATAACATTGGATTTAAAAGCCAATAAGATAAAGTTGTATTAAGAAAATCAATTAAAAATTTTTCCATATTCAATTAAAATGAAAACTCAGAAATTTACAAAACAAAAAACTCCCTAAAACAAACAAGGCTATTATTTTAAAACCTACAGTCATTAAACCGCCGACCAAGTCTGTTGTCATCTGATCCTCCTCATTAGCTTGGGAGTTCAATGGCGGTGCGTAGAGCTCTGATGACCGCAGAATTTCCAAGACCTTATCTAGGGCTTGAACGACCGTGACCGGGCTGTTCTCCTGCGCCGCATTAATAATATTTATCACCTGTGGGGAGGATATACAATGGAATGAAAGTACGTCAATGGAACAGAGTTAAAACTGACAGATTGGGAACCTGGGGACATGAGTGACAATGTGGGACAAATAACGGGAAGTGTTTCGGGCCAAGAGGGAAAGAGCAAGTGCTGGCCCGATTCCAAATTAATTACCCATGGTACTGAGTAAACGCCAATTTTGTTGACCTATATAGACACGAGAAGGTTGATGGTTCCAATTTGTTGTGGTTAATTCGTCATTTGTGATGACTCAGTGGATAAAACATAATCACAGATCCAACACCAAGACTAATTATAATAATAGTAATAGTAATAATAATAATAATATTAATAATAAACTTTAAAACAATTATGACACTATATATGATGCTCATTTCAGGCATAAGCAAACATTTTAGCAATTGCTAGGCTGTATAAAACAGACATGTTTCGACAGGATCTGCACCCATTGTCAGTGTGGAGAATACACGCTGACAATCTTATTTAAAAAAGAGTAGTGATACGTAGCACTATATGAAGAGAGTCAATTCATTGAACAATGGAGTTAAAACAGTTTGTGAATAAATATAAGGACGAATAAGAAAACGAACTGAATAAAAATGACGAAGTTAAATTAACACTACATTATCACTATTAATAATAAACAATTATAATCATAACCAACATAATAATAATAATAATAATAATAATAATAATAATGATAAACAAAAAACTAAACAATAATGTTATTTGGCACACAACACAATTAAACTTATAGACTGCACCTCTACACTCAAATATAACATTTTAAAAATAAATCAACAATTTTGCTGCATTTTTCCAACAGAACATGCTATCGCTTGGGATGGGAATCAAAATGTGGGCGTATTATATCCAGTGAAACACGATATGGCAGTTTACCAAGTACTGTAAAAGCAAAACAACATATTGGCACATATAACTGTACAGGCAGGTAATTTGTTACTAGATTTTTCACAAAATATATATACCAACCTAGATGATAAATCATTTTAAGCTGCTCTCAAACAGCCAGTCTTACAATTATACTAGGTTTATTCTATACATGGTCTCACGACAGCCACTTACCATTTATAGTAATCTCAACTAAGACATTCAGTATTAATAGATAAATAATTACCATCAAGTGGCGGATATTCCACTGTCCAGGGTAGGGCATACACCCCCCTACCTAAATATGGAATATCCAAAACCGATTACCATATACAGGTAGTTGTTATAGGAAGTTTTACTCTAAAATAGAAGCCTTAAATATTAACTCCATCCACGTTTCTCTTTTGTTACTTAAAATGTTTATTTTTCCACTGTGTCTTGCTTGGTTCTGGCCCAGTGTGTGCAGGATACAGACACCAAGGCCTTAATATAAGTATCCACTTCAGCCTTTGCTCAAGCAGCCATACCTCAGCTATTGGGAAACTCACAACTCGATCTCCTTACCTGTGTTATGGGGGCTTCTATCATCATTGAGTGAATTCTGGCCATTGACGGTCTTCTAGTTAAATTACCTGTTGAAAATACAGTACAAACAACAAAGTAGTGCTATTTCGATGCGAGTTTGCGTCAGGAAAATATCATAGGAGTGATGTTTTGTCCTTTTGGTACAATAACACGTCAGTTTATTTATTTATTTTATTTTATAGGATTTATATGGTGCACATATCGATTAAAATTGCTCAAGGCACCTTTTTCCCCCTGGTGATTGGATACAGAATCAATTATACACAACGTGCAACCTCCTCCGCTCCCTGCGGAGTATTCCTAGTTGTAATCAGCACTACTAATTTCATTCCGAATCATTCACCTCGTATCAAGTACCCATCAATACTCCTGGGTGAAAAGAGGCAAATGCAAATAATGTGTCTTGCCCAAGAACACAAGCAGTATGACAAGCACCAGTCTCACACCAATGACCTTTCAACTTAAAGTCCAATGCCCCATATGTTTCCCCACTGCTTCTGCAAGAACCTTCAACATCCTTTGAAAAAAGCAGGTGGGGGGGGGGGTATATTTTTTCCCTGTATATGGTGATGTTTGTTTAGAAGTATGATTTTTTTTTATCATATATACCTGGGTCACTTGCTAGTGAACATCCATCATATCCACTCTTATGAAAGGCTTTGAAATCCGTCACCCCACTGTTTCTCATTATATCATAAGAATCTGTAAAATAGTAAAATATGGCTGTAGTAATCACCATATTTGCTCATTTAGGAATGTCAGCACAAAATTGTCAAACACAAATAAATGTCTCCATAACCTGAACAGGGCTAATAAATATTAATTAGTTCACTTCGTTTGGATTTCGGTAACCTACTGAACAAATTCACAATAAAGAAAATAAAATCAATAAAACAATACTTTTGTAATAATCCTGAAGATTGGATTTTATTTGAAATGCAAAGTTAAGGTAAATTTCATTTGAATTCTAATCGCAATATTTATATAATTCATATAAATGTATGTATAGTACTTTAATGCATACATTTGTAAACTTTTATATTTAAAAGTTAAAAATGTCATTCAAAAGCTTTTAAAGAACATCTCTTAAAATATTTAAATGTCAAGCATATATAAATCACACCTTACCAAAGTTACACTATTCTTATGACAATAAATATTGTGTTAATGTTTCATTCTATATGCAATTAAATTTTATTGAACTGAAAAACCATCGAAGACTATTATCTACATATCCAATCACAAAACGAACAGACACACACATTTTATTAAAAAAATTATTTTCTTTAGAAAAATATTTTGTCAGATGACCATTCATAACTCTCTGACAAAATGAAATGTAATACTTGTTGAGATGTACAGAAAAAAGTAATTATAGAAAATTTGTTTCGTTTGAAGCATTTATGCAATGTTATTGCGTTACATTTTTTTCCTCCATATATACTATGACAAGAGTGATTATAATTTCAAAAGTTTTACAATGTAATAGTGGGGGAGGGGGGGCCAAGCCTAAGGAAGAATGGTAAGCTAAAAGAAAAACAGGTAGTACGAAATCATGAAGTATGACCTTGGAGAGAAGATCTAGGGACAATGAGAGGTAATGGTGAAGGGGAAGGGATTTTTCTGGTTTTGAAAGGATGTGTATGTTGAAGATTAATAACAATAAAGCAACAACATTAGTAGTAGTAGCAGCAGCAACAACATAAAAACAACATTACCATAATCTAAACTCTCTCCACTAACATAAAGCAGGTAAAAAAATAAATCAAACAATAATTTTCATCTGTAGAAATGGTTATTTCATGAAAATTGCAAAAATTTATAAAATGAGAGAATTCATATTGTATTTTAACCATAGCCTAGGTAGCTAAATTTAAGGACTTTTGGTCAATTCTGCCTATTACACACAGGACTGAACTCATGAATATTAATGACATTTTTTAAATCATGGATTTGAAACAGACTACCAAGCAAGTGAAAAAAGCTGATTTTATTTGAACTGAACATCAAATAATATAGCTATATCATTTCTTCATTTCTCTGTTTTATTTGCATCTTTTTTAATCAGGTTTTTCAAATAATCACTTAAAAGATGTTAGAAATAAATGATAAATTAGAGAAAAATATTATTCCAGAATCTCCCTTTAATAATTCACTTATGGGTTACAATCTGAAAACAGCGAACATTTTTGCCGGCCATTTAGATAGGTAAGTTTAGACGAGGTCAATACTGATATACAGCAATTCGACGCTAAGAGGTTATATGCTGGATTAATCTACTTGTAAAGGAAGCTACTAAAAAACTGAGTTGAATTTTAACTGTGTCCTCTTGACGTCAAGACCGCATTGATCTTTCTTGAACTTGGTTACAGGAAATGTGACGGACATCAATTCCACAAACGGCAGAAAGTAACACAAATAATTCTATAAGACTCTCCTTTAAGTTAACAGTACATTATTTTTACAAAAAAAAAAATTAGTAAGATTAGTGATGTACGTGGTGAAAATGGATGATAAATGCTGATTAAATAATGATGCCAACAACATTGAATGATGCTATAAAAATTATGGTTACGATAAATAATATAGAGACCATGACAACTTAACTGAATAAATAAACATAATAATGTTGTTGATGATAATGATATGATGGTGGTGAATGGTGATTTGATACATAATTAATATGATGATGACGCTTGACTACGGTTGTGTCAATGACAATGATGTTGATAACAACAGAAATATAAATAGTACCCATGTGTAATATTAGTGTTAATAGAATACTTAAAAAGCAAAATCATTTAAAAATTATTATACATAATATTACCTGATAAACCATCCTTGAATTCCTGATGATATTGGTTTCTGCTCACATATACAAGTTGTCGTACTTTCCTAGAACGACAGACATATAGTAATGTAATGTAAATGCTTTTAAATTAGTATTTTAAATTTTATAAAATTTATCTTCCCTGCTAACCTAAACACATGTTTTAGATGATATCTTTAATAAATTTCACTTGTTTTTAAGAGCATTTTTCCAGTTACTTTTCTTGGTTATCAGCTATGTTATTGATTACTGAGATTTTCAAGTCCATAACAGTTATCAATGGTTTGATTGATCTGCAAAACAAAAGATGTAGTCAGCACAAGATGGATTCCACTGTGAGTTGGACTACTGTACACATAATATTATTTTCTAAGGTTCTCTTCCGTAAGGTTTTACATGACCAGTACAACCATTTAGTTTATTGTTACACTAGTGTTATCAATCTCGGAATGCATCATTAACAATTTTTGAGCCCTATTAACTAATCATTACCAACATTTGCTAAGACCATGACATGCATTGTCACCAGCTATTGAATCACGTTCCATTGGGATTAATCTTCATAGATCGCTAATGAAGACACACTCTTCTGAATTTTGAATATGACCTAAGCACATAATGAATACCTAGTAATTAAAGCACTTAATGAGTTTATAATAGAAAGTCCACTATAGCAGGTTTCTCTGTTATGGATTACTGAGTAGAGCAACGCTGTCTATGGAATTCAAATCTGATATAGTCCAATGCACAATGTTTTTTTGTAGGTTTGGGTGATAAATGAGACAAGGTGAAAGTGGCACAGCCTGCAAACCTGTCTGAATATTCATTAAGTCAAACACTGCATGAAAACAATACAAAAACAACAAAGGCATTAAGGAATACTGTACTCGTGCAAATAAGTGCCCTGGAGCTTAAAATATATTTTTTTTCACTTTTGAAAACAGAGTGGAAATTGAGGAGGCACTTATGGAAACAGATGAATGATTATATATATAAGGGCATTATGAATGGTGCTGTAGAGGAAAAGATAATCGTCCAGAGAACATGGTCCATGACAAGAATGCTGTGAATATTTACATAACAGCAGAATAGCAAATGCAATGGTGGGTAGTGTTTATAAGCTTGTTGGCCATTTCTTAAAAACTCAGATGAGGCCTAGACAAATACTGTATGTAAGAAGAGGAAAGTTGAAAATATACTGTCTGTCCAGGGAGCGGAACTCTCATTTATCCCAGAGAAATATCCTCATTTTGACTTTGACCTAAGGAGAATGTGATTCCAGTGTACTCTGCAGCTCAAAGCATGTCAACAACCACAGTCCCAGGATTGATTGGATTATTGACTTGCTAAAAAGAAAATCTTTATATTATTGAGGGAGCGCTTATTCAAGCGGGGCACTTAAGGAATTTTTCACGTTAGAGGGACACTTATTCAAATGGGGAGCTTATTCGCGCGAGTACGATCGATATCCTTAATATATTATCGTTCACAATTATACGAGTAGTGGCTCTAGAAAATTTGCAGATAGGGCTCAACAAGTCTGACAGGGTCTGAACCAAAGGCCCCTAAGGCCTCCAGTCAGGGTCCTAGAATAAAAACCTTTGTGGAAATCAAGGACATGCATTTAGTTTAGTATCATAGAAATCTGGAAAACACAATCAATTTGGTTGCACGTACTGTAGCATCCAATGCCGGGGGGTTGGATTCCATGATTGTCTGATGGAAGAACAATTCCCCCAAATTTTTTCTGGCGGTGCAGCCACTATTTTCTACCCTTCTTTTTACCAGTCATTGAATCTTATAAATACAGGTATTCAAAATCTAACTGTATAATTGTATATGCAAACACTCTCACAGTGGCCTTGTACCTGAACTTCTCCCCTTTATCATGCTCCACTGCAGGAAAGAATACAGTACAATATTAATCTGTTCCATCACACGGAACATTTTAAATAAGACATTTAAATGACAGGACTGTTAGCTTTTCTCATGCATTACTTCTGGCTAAAACCAAACATGGTTATTAATTAGCAGAGGAAATGCACGGATCAGTAATATTGTCACGCTCTAAGCTAGATAAATTGACAGAGTGAACAGAAGCTTAGGTGTTTCCTCAGTTGATTTATTTTCACGTTCATATGTGATGAATAAAGTTACTTGAATGTTGTCACTCACATAATTTACTGAAACGTTAGTAAATATTTTAAAAATTGTTCCAGTCTACTAGTAGGATCATTATTTGATCTGGTGTACTGCTTGTTTGTTTTTGGGACTCACTAAATTTTAGAGTGTTGTTATGCCTGCTGAAATGTTGTTGAGATAATTTTAAAATTATCAAGTAGATATCGTTTCTATATAGTAGCCTTATCATAAACAACCTATACTTTTGTAAATGTAAACACCAAAACAATCCTATGCAATTTTAACAAGCAAATGGTCAATTTTACACTAGGTAATATTTCTATTTATTATCAATTTCTTTATTCTTTATATAATTATGTAATGTGTCATTTTCTTTTGTGTATTATTCTCTCACAAGGACCCCTTCGGGAACAAGCAGAAATGCTTAAAGTGTTATCCTGAAATTTTACACTATGTTGTTATTTCTACTTTGATTTTGATGTTTTATGTTGAGAATTTCAAAATTTGATTTTTTTCTCATGACCAAAACAACTCCACTCCCTAAACCTCATATTGAGATTTAGTTTGTGTAAAGCATCGTGCGTGTATATTTGTCTTGTGAAAGGGATTGACAAGTAGGAGAGTAATATGTTCGCTATTGACAATCCTTGGTACATGTATTGTGTGCCTAAATAATAAATAAAATAAAATAAATCCAATCTAATCCACACACATGCAGTAGTGACCATCACCAGTTTTGTTAAGTGATGTATGCTTCTATCAAGCATACTGCATTCTCCATTATTGTTTTACTCACTAATGTATAGGGTCCTATAATTAATGTATATATACATAATACAAACACTGTTGTTTTCATTAGAATCATGTTTCTTTGAACAGACAGACGTCTTAGATGCATCAAGCAATCAAAAATTAAAACCTTAAAATCATTTTTCAGCTGGATCATTTGAAAAATTAAAAACATGTTTTCGCAAATCGCATAAATATTAATCATAAGAATTTTCATAAAGACACCTGTGTTGACCCAACAAAACACTTGTAAAATAAAATATAAATTTGTTCAGCATTTAATTGAAACTAGAACAAACATATAATTACTTTTTCAATATACTTTTCTTGAAAATGAATGAAATTACTCTAAGAATCTTTGTCAGGGACGTAGGCTCATTTCGGCTTGTGAGGTGCAAAAATGAGAATGCGAAATGAAATCCCAGAATGCAGAAATATATCCCTTAATCCAATGAAAACATAATGGTCATTTTTAGTATTTTAACCCACTAGTGGAACAAATTTGATGCATTGGGGGTGGGGTCTATGTCCATGTAGTAAAGACTCCATAAATTTAAAGCCAGGCTCTGAAGGGAAAAAACAATTTGATACAGGGATGTAACCACACTTTTTTCCATAAAAATATTTTTAATTAGTTTCTAATCACCACATTATTATGTCACTTAATAACATTGTATTATGTGGCTATACCTACACAAAGATCCTAATGTTGTTGTTCCTATAAATCTCATAAACACTAGTTCTTTTCCCAAGTGAAAAGAATGTTTATTTACATATTTATTAAATATCACAATGTAAGACATATTAATTGAATTAAGCAAACTGTACTTTAATTGGATGGGAAATGAATTGGTAGCAAGCTTGTTGAAAACAACAGGTTGTGAAATTGACACAGTTTAGAATAACTGTTAACTACAAGTTCAGTGACCTAACTAACCACATCCCTTGTGCCGCATCCTCAGTAACCTAAACGATAAGTGACCATCGGTGTTTCTCTACTCAGTGGCTTCACATAGTTTGTGGGGTCCTGGCGCGACTGTTATTGGGGCCCCTAACAAGTGAGCGAAGCGAGCACATAGACCCTGGGGGGCCAAGGGGACGCGTAGGGCCCGCAGTCGGAGTCCAGGGGGTGAAGGCCTCTGGGGGTCCGAGGGGGCTCGCGCTCAGAGCTTATGTCATTTATGAATTGTTAACTGAGTTAACAGAGAACATAGAATGGTCCATGCCTAATGAAATATTTCAGACAATTTTATGACAAAACCAACGTAGATTACATAGGCCAACTTTCGGAACTGGTATAGGCCTACAGGAAGCCTATGTACTCAGTGTAAATAAATACGCCACTGTCTCTACTCACCCTCCATATCCCTGTTCTGGGATTATGTTTACATGTTGTGCAACGTTTTCTCCGTTCTTTTTCTTTGAATACATTGTTCCTTCCCAGGACTATAATAACAATAAAAAATAAAAGTCATAGTTTTTTTTTTACATAAAAGTTGAGGATTGAAAGTGTCCCTAAATGAAATCATGGTCAAAATGCAGGGCCTACGGACAAACATTAATTTAAAAAAAAAATTAAAATAATGATAATAATGATATTGAAGATAATGATGACTGAAGATGATTATGAGAGTATTGATGTATATGATGATGATGACTTATGGTTAATGAAGAAAATGATGATGTTGATAATGATGAGAATGATATTGATGATGACGACTATGACGATGATGATGATAGTGATGATGATAACAATGATAAATATTGATGTTAACGAATGATGGTGACTATGTTTGAAGTATGAATGATGAAAAAAAATGATTATGATGATGTGATAACTTACCTTTCCTTTTTTAAGCTGTGAATGTATTGTGTCCATTTGTTCTGTTTTGTTCTTGTCACTTTGTGGTATGTCAGATAACTCCTTGCCAACTATCTCCTCACTGGATAAACCGATGAAGTGTTCATACGCTGTGTTCACATACTGAACAACATGCTGTTCGTCGGTGATCTGAACTCGGTCGGATGTCTTTTCTAAGGCAGTAAACAGAGCTGCTGCAGCCCTATAATTCAACACAACATTGCTAACTCTATTTCTGATACTTCAATAGTTCATTTCGAAACTTTTCTTAAGACTATCAAATATTCTTTGACAAAAAACAGATATATGCCAATATATAGTCATGATTTGTCTATACATGATCATGATGTGATGTCATCATGACAATATTAAGCATGTCAAAAGCTTTGTCCAAAAAAATTTGACAGACTGGACAGGGCTTTAGTTACAGGAAGTAGCGAATTAATTTGACTACCATGACACAACCTAGCACTAACACAACTTGCTCAAGATACACATATTTAATTTACATCTTTTGTTTTAAATTATTTCATTATTTCCCCGAAAAACGATGATGGGGGCAGTGATGATGATGATATTGATGATTATGATGATGATGATAATGAAAACATTACAGCCTGGTTTCCTTAAAATCGCTACCTGCAATCTGTGTACTGCATAGCAGTCCCCAACACAAACCCAATTTGACCGACCATCCAGCATCACTGAAAACTGTCGGCGATTGCGTGTACCAATTGTATAGAAACGATATAAATAACGATCCTTGAATGCATAAAACTAGCATCACAAAAACAATCATTTACATACATGAGTGGCACAAAGTTAAATGTCTAATCGAGCTTAACGATATAAATAATGAGCCTTGAATGCATAAAACTAGCATCACAAAAACAATCATTTATATACATGAGTGAAACAAAGTTAAATGTCTAATCTTCTTTGCATGAATAACTTTACAGTTATTATGTAATGCGTCAATGCTTTTGTTCATCAAACCAAACAAATTAGTATACTAAACTGTTGCCACATTACTTGCGTCGTTTGGCAACATATATGAATCAATCAATCAGCGGTATGCGTACAATACCTGAATCGGAAGTGATTTTTCACTTCTCCATGCTCCAGTTGTAATAGTTCATTTAAACATGCTCCTGTATTGGTATTCTCAACAAAACGACGATTAAATCCTGCCGAGAGTAGGGACAAGACTGAAACCTCTTCTCGATCTGCGGGACTGAGAAATCAAGAGAAATTCATAAACATTAAACTAATACTTCATTCCTAATTTATTATAGATGAGCAACTAACCACCTACAAGATGGAATACCGGTAAAGTGTAATGCAGCTTTAAGACAGTGGTTGTTAGTCTTGAAATGGTATTTGCAAGCTTTAAACCCAGGACTCTGGTTCATATGAATGTTTTTAGAATGAATATGAACTTGTCAAGGAGGAGGGAGACAAGGATTCTCCCCAGGATACATCTTCTTTCAATATATTTTTCTTAAAATAAATGTATTATTGCTCAAGAATGCAAGCAATATGACCAGGCATTAGCCTTAAACCCATAACCATTCTCTTTGACGTGCAAAGCCTTATCATGACATGCCGCTGAATGCAGGAAATTATTGTGCTAATTGTTAAATGTGTGGGACAGCTATTACAACAGCTAAGAATACTTGAAGCTACTCAAAGCAGCATACAGCCTGAAGAGGTTTTGCACTCAAGATAAGATATAGGCCAATCAGACTCGGCCAAGACACCTTCAAATAAATCAAATTTATGGATACCTTTCTTCATGCGTATATGCTTTTCTATCATTGTTATTAATTGTCAATTCTGTGAGTTCAGCCAAAGAAAACTTTTAGGATGAATATTAATAGTAGCATTGGGATGGATTTTAACGATCCTCGGGGACACCTTGTTTGCGTCACAAATTTGACATAATGAAATAATGTGTTCAGATTCTCCATTTAGAATAATAAAATTAATTGTTAAATCCAACATTTGTTATCCTAGAGCAGAGATCATACTGCAATGCACTTCGCTATTTGGAAATCTTGAAACTAATTCACTATTTACAGACACAGCATGATATTTTCATAAAATATATTAATACTAATTTTTTATTCATTGGATTAGTGTTTCTCTTTGAAAGATCACATTTATGCTACTTTAAAAATATTATCTGGATAGTACTATACAATGTATAATAATAGTATTGATAAAATCACTTATTTCTCTTAAAACGTTGAGTACAGCCAATGTTTTTGTAATATGCAAGTTTGATAAAATTGAATATTAAATTAAAAAATGAACATTACCATACTCGCATGAATAAGCGCCCGGGCACTTAAAACATTTTTTTTTTTGCACTTTTTGAGGGGCACTTATTCAAATGGTGTGCTTATTTGAACAGGCACATTTTAAAATGAAAAACGATTACATAAGGACATTAGGAAACAGCAAATTACAAATGGTGGTGCGGCAGAATGGATAATCGTCCAGAGAGCATGGCTTGTCGTGACAAGAATGTTGCGAGTACAGTATTACATTACAGTTGAATTGCAGATGAAATTAGTGGTGGTGGTTAGCTTGTTGACCATCGGCTGATAGAGATTAGCAGGATGGCATGATCATTGCAGGTTTTCTTTAAAACTCAGATAAGAATGTGTTAGTTAGGTGCAAATTGTTGGAAAAGCAGTGGACTAGGCTACAGAAAAATGTAAGAAGATGAAAGTTGGAAATATACTGCCTGTCTAGGGAGCCCTCATCTGTCCAAGATAAATATCCTCATTTTGATATTGTCTAAAGAAGAATGTGATTCCACTCCACACCTCAAATCATGCCAACATCCACAGTCCAGGATTGATTGAATTATTGAGGGGGCGTTTATTCAAATTAGAAGGGGGAGCTTATTCAAACGGGGTGCTTAAGGAAATTTTCACGTTAGGAGGGGCGCTTATTTAAACGGGCACTTATTCACGCGGATACGGTATTTGTTATCACAAATGTTTGTAGCATCTCTATCACATAACACATTTATGGTTAATGGATATATTTATAGTACAGTACCGTACAAACCAAAGTTGTCTATGAGGCATATATACAAAAAAACATCAAATTTTATCCTTCTAAATGTAAGATAATTTAACATACTCTCATTTGTATGTGAACAATCCAGAAAATTAAAATAGAAGTGGAGAAGGGCAAAAAGGGAGAGGGGACAAGGAGGGACTTTTATAGATAGAAGGTCAAGACCAATTCAGTCCCATGATGGTTGGGGCTGAGTTCTTTTTATTATTATTATTTTCTTTCCCGCTTTATTCAAATTCCCTTTCTTTTCAATATATTTTTTAATTTTATTTTTTTTACTTTTCAAGAAAAAATTTTTAATTTTCAATAATTATCAACAATTTTTGTAAAATAACTAATTTTCTCCCTTTGCTTGGCCTGTTGTGCAACTTTTCAGTTAATGTATTTTTTTTTTGTCTTTTAATGGCATTTTATTCATTTTTCCCAAATTCTAACGTTTCTCTTTTTGGTTATGACTTTGTTCGTATTTAGTACTATTATATTTTAATTTTATTATTAATAATAAATTAGTATCTAATAATTTTAATCCTCTTGTTATATTTTGTTTCTTTTTTTTTTTTTTTTTTTTTTTTTTTTTTTTTTTTTTTTTTTTTTTTTGTAATGTCTTTTTGGTGTATTGAAATTTTATTGTGAATTTGGTGTAATTAGTTTTGGTGCAATACTGCTGCCAAACCGAATTTTAAAAAAGAATGAAGAATAATAAAAACAAATTTATTTTCTTTCATTTTCATTTCTTTTCAAATTCCTTTCTTCTCATCTATTTTTTAAAATTTTCTTTTCTACTTTCCAAACATTGCATGTTTGTGAAGTGAAAAAGTAGCCATACTCTTCCAAACAAATATTATGATTTGGCATGTATACAAAAAAAAAAACATTAATTTTAATCCTTCGATCTTTGAAAGAATCTCCTACAATTCTGGATTACCAGTAAAATAAGTTTTATAGCAGATTTGTTTATATTACCCTCACTGATATGATACATGTTGTCATAAAAACACAACATGCAACAAACAGATTAGGTTTAAACTTTCACCAAAAAACATCTGTAATGGGTGGTTGATCAAAACAATGTGATATATCATTTGGAATTTCCATGCTTTAAGTTGCAACGATGGACAGAATAATCACAACAGTAGGCCGATACAAAAGGTGCATGAACTATTATCAAAAATTGTATTGTATTTAATATAACTATATAAGTATCACTAGCAAATGAAAGGTTAAAGCATTTCTTTTTTAAAAGAAAACTAACAAAAGGTAAAGATTTATTAAATGCAAAGACAGGATGCTGATGGCCACCTTTCAACTTGTGTTTTTATTTCATATGTGAGTGGTGTTTTTGTGAAGCATAGATTTGCCATTAATATTTGTTGGAATAAAGAAAATAATGTAGATCTTCTAATTTCAAAATATATTTTTTTAAAAGAGGTATCTACAGCGAAATTGTTGTCATTGCATTTTATACTAAATAGTTAATGTTGGATTAGAGCCTGGTTGAGTATTCTTGACAATAGTCAGTGCTGTACAATAATGCTAAAGAAAACATCATATCAGGCACCTAGGTAATTTTGAATCCTTATTTAAAGGTTATCGCAATCATTCAAGTAATGCCGAGGTCAAATGCATGGTTTAAAATTATAACCTGGTATTACAATATTATATAACAAATAATGTGTGATTTAATTGAACGTATACAATAGGCTTGACTATTCACCTCTTTGGATTGGTGATAATTGTTAAAATGGGCATGTTGATTGTAGTGCATTGAAAGTAATGCACTGCATATTCTCTATATAATATGTTGGTTACTGAATTCTGCCTTAATTAACATTATAATAGGTAAAGGCACATTGTTCATGTTGCTTTAATGTACATTCAGATTTCACTGCAGTAAATCTGTGATATTTGTAAAACAACAATGTTTTATTACATAGTTACATAGTAATAAATGTCTCATAGCATTTGCATGAACATACTTTGGCATCCTATGCTATTGACATTATATACATTTTGTGAGGAGATAATTAGGCGAGACTTTTTTATACCTTGTTTCGCAAACTTATTTAAAAAAAAATAAAAAATAAAATTTTGCTTTTTTATTTAGCAAATAGTTTTGCCAAAAACATCACATGGATGGTGAATGTAAACAGTGTAGCCATGGGATGGTTAAGTGCTTTAAATTTATAAAAATTAAGAAGAAATATACATATCTTATTTTTGGAGATTTCAAGGTAGAAGCAGGAGAAATAAATATAAAGAAAAACTTCTACTTTTTTCCTAAAAATTTCAATTTGTTCGTGGCGACGTGTGCACTAACTGGTCAAAAATAAAATTTATATTTATTCGAGATCCATCATTTCTAGCGGTGGCGGGTTCGCTAAAGAAAGCATAAACAAAGTCTTGCCTTAGCTTTCTTATGAAGTGGACATATTAATAGATAAACAAATTTTATGTATCAATGTTTGTCTGCAATGTTTAGAATTATTCAGATAATGTTGAAATACTTCCTGATATATTCAAATGGTTCAGATGATAAGCTGTTGTACATGTAAACATTTGATGAGTATTTTATTTATATTGCACCACTCATAACAGGTATATGACCATCCTATTAAAAAAAGGACGCATCTTATGTGTCGGGACAATGATGTATGGCACAGAAACTTGGGCAATGTAAGTGAAAGACTAGTGCCACTATCAGAAACTATAGTGTACGCGTCCCTGGTTGCTGCAGTAGCACTGTTAGCGTGCCTTTGCACTGCGGTTGTGTTCAGGCCCGTATCCAGGGGGGGTTTTTATGGTTCGGGTGAACCCCCTTTTCTAGCACAACCCCCTTTTTTTATGGTGAACCCCCCCCCCCTCTTCAAATTTCCCAAATATGTCCTCCAACCCAAATAATAATGCACTACAGACCCACCCAGACATAGACGTTTTCAAACATATCTGATTTTATAGCATTATTGAGACCCATAAAGCACAAAAATCCTCTTGCTTTGGGGAATTATCCGACCCCACCGGGGCTTGGACCTCACGCCCAGAAACCCCCCCCCACCCCCCGGAAGGACCTGGCTACGAGCCTGGTGTTGATTATTATGTTCTTTTGAAGGGCGTCCTCTAAATTGTATACTAGTACTTTGTTTGACATAGAATTGCATTCTAACGAAATCCCCAAGAGTCAGAGCTCTTGAGGTTCTATAATCTTTGGTTCAACTTAAAAGAAGGGCAAAACCATGTGATGGAATAAAACTATAGAGGGAGACCTTAAACATATATGATTAAAATAGGAAAAAATGCTAACAAAAACATGAGAAGACATGCCATCCACTGCAATCTGGCCAACCTACATACACATGTAAACTGGGCCATTTAATGGAAATGATTAATGATAATCATTGATTATATATGGTTACTTAGCAACCTAACAGCGAACTTACCTCTTCTTTACCACGGCAACTATAACAGAATGTTGACTGCCTTGTGTAGCTCGTACAGATCTGTTTAGCGAACAAAAAAAAAACTTGACATTTTTTTTAAATTTAGTAACCATAAATAATGAGGGTAAATATTTCAGCATTAGTTGATAACTTGGGATCAAAATTACATCTAGATACAATGTGTAAAAACATGGAAACATTTATTCTAATAATTTATCAATAAAATATCTGAACAAATTCTCACATAACAATATTTACTATCAAATTAATATATTATCTTGTTTTTCATAACAAAAATGAGTAAACATGGTACAGTAAAAAAAACAACAAATTAACACAGCATATTATCAATAAAACATTTGTGTCGATGGTCAGACTGTCCAAACAGATTTTTTTTTTCTGAGGAAGTAGAACAATGGTCTGAATAGTAATAGTAAAAGATTTGTTTGAAAAAACATGTCTGTAACAAGCATACTAAAAACAAAATCTGTTCAAACATTGTTGAACTTGACAAACAAAAACACTGTAGATTATGCTCGGCTTAGAATGTTTGTTTAGGAAAAATCAGGATTAGTATGCATTTCATACAGCAATAAAAAAACACAAAATTGTTGTGTTGCTCAGAACAGTGACATTTGGGAATCTGAGACTGTTGGTCATTACCCAAATAATTAAATAATTTATCATTCGTAATTTTTCACAAATCCTGAAATTAGTTGATAACATAGATAATCCTTTTATCATGAACCAATCAATGTTTTAATAAATACTGTGCATATAATATATCTACTGGTGATGAAATGTTTTACGTCAATTTGTAACCACGACAGTCAGTATTACTAACTTGATTCTACCTTCGTGAGGCGATGATCAGCTAAGCATGCGGAATTAAAATTCATGTAACCGTTATTCATTACAGTACCGGAAATATATTCACTTTCTTTAATTAACATAAAATATAGAAAAACTCTCTCACCTGCATAAAGCGAGGGCATCAAAGCTCTTGTGTCGGTGATCGACAATGATAACTTCATGTTGTTTCTCTAGATAGCACTCAAGTGCGTCCACTTGATTGTGCACGATACTACACTGGTAGCCTCCCTTCTCCGCTGCCCACCAGAATGAATCGCTCTGAGAATCCTCTTTGCCAAAAACCAGCAGAACCTGAAATTTGAGAAAGTTAGTCAACTAGTATGCAACTCCATGGTTATGTATTTGAGGGGGTATATTTTAAATAATGCCAGTCTATAGGCTACTGATGTTTTTGACGTGTTAGATTCACATTCAGACTCATTTCATTTGTCATTATGTTTCTACCTGGGTTATTAGTAACAATCACAAAACACAATATCAATATATTTACACTACATAAACAATGAATCAGTTGAATGAAAAGAACAAAAAAAAAAGATATAATTATCTAATCAATTGTAGTAATGTGTATGTTTATATGGATGTGATCATAAATTTGTTAATCAAAGTATTATAGGGATTTGAATCTTTGTCCATTGCATAATACTCTCCGCATATTTGTTTGATGAAAGTCAAATTAAAGTTAATGGAAATTGCTGCTGGGCAGATTACTCAGCACTGTCAGAACCATTATGCTGTCAAACTGTTGAGTCTTCATTTTCATCTTCAAAATGTGTTCAAATATTAATATATGACAAAGTCACGTAGCAAAGAAAATGACCATTTCATTTTTTTCCCTATCATTATATACAGTATGTATCATACAGTAACAATAGTTACATACACAAAGCAACTCAATGCAAAATAAATCTGTTTAGGCTACATTATATTTAAGTACAATGTTTAAATACTGTCACCACTATAAAAATCCAGGAAAAACCCTCAATCACAGATATAAAAAGTAAAAAAAAAATCTTTAATGAAGCCATACTTCCCAAACTATGGGTCGTGATCCAAAAGTAGGTCGATACCCGACTTCTGCGTTGGGTAGCGAGCAGGTTTTCCAAAAACCACATTTTAGGCGAATCTTCATTAGAACAATGTTTTATTAATATGCCCACAATGAATATCTTATATCTTACCACAACGTAATTATGTAAATCTAAACATTAACAAGTATTGACATGTGATCTATAAGAATAGCATTTTTCCTAATAAATTTCAAATGACTAGGCCTATAACCTTTTATGCAAATACAAACAATAATACACTTTTTATTTTATAAGAACCAGCAAAATTTTGCACAGGTTTAAAATGTTCTTATCTTGTTCTTATTTTTGGACTATGGATGACTCGTCAGAACTTCATGATTCGGAGGCTGAGGATTTAATTCTCAGTTCCAATCTTTCCTAGCTCGTTGCCTGGGCGATGCCACCCATTCTTGATCATTTAGGCGTCTCTTTTGAGACTCAATCCCGGGGTGGTTTGGGGACGGGCCTGTTGGGGGGGGGGGCCCGCCAGCTCCTGCACATCCTGCTTACCCTGTTCCCGTTTTGGGTCTCCACCCGGACCTCATTCTTCGCTTGAACTCGCAATTGAAGTCTAAGCCGGTTGCTGCTTCTCGGCGCTAACAGCCACTTTTTCAGTCCCCAAGGACCATTTTAAGAGTTTATTCAGGCGCCGCCCATTCCTCACGCTGCCTAGGGCAGATTGCGGGAAGATCAGGAGCATTCTGCTATGTGCAATACTTTGTTTTCAAACAAAGCACATGGCGCGACCGAGGAGGCTTTGTCCTTTGTGGACAGTGCAGCCTTATTTCTGATCAGTTCAGTTCTATTGCTGCTGGTGCGGCCCGAAGGCCTAATGTTCTCCGGGTGACTACGGTCAGTCCCGGTCATTTTGACTGGTTTTTGGACTGCTCCTCTTTTGGGGCAGATCTCTTCTTTGGCCAGTTTGCTGCCAAAGACGGTTTGTTCGTGGCGCCCTGGGTATTTTGAAGTGGTGTTCCGTTTTGGGAACAATGGCAATCGTCGGTTTATCCAGGTAAGTATTCACGAAATAGACATATTTCGCAAAATGTCGATCCTATAGTTTCGCGATTTTGAATCAGACATGGGCCACGCAAAGTCTCAAATATTAAGTCTCATTTTCCCACTTCAGCATAAATCGATGATAATCAGTGGCTAATTTAAAGGGGTGGGGACTAGCAAGCCTGCCTCCTCCCCACTAAATTTTTCAAAATATAAAAAAAAACAATTAAGAAAAAATTTTTTATTCAAATTTAAAGTCTGAGTGTGCCATTTCTGGCAATCTAGATTTGCCTTAATCATTAATTTTTTTTTTAAATTAAATTTTATTGTTTTATTATTTTATTATAAATGTATGTGAGGGCCCAAATGATCAGCTCTGCTAGATGAGCTACCCTCCTTAATGATGGTTTTAAATTAATACCGTAAATACATCCTTAATTTGCTGGTCAAAAATTTCAGGTCTATGCAAAGACTATGCTGTATAAATCGTACAAAATAATATTATTTGGAGACATTTTTCTTGTTCTATTTTCAGTTTAAATCTAAAATGCAATACCAATTGAGCAACTGATTGTTAAGTTGATTAGATTTAAGTCAGTGGCAGGCCATCAAGAAAACAAGGTATGCTGCTTCCCCAGCTAACAAATGCTTCAACTGCGTATTTTCTTTTATAGTTTATTTAGCATTTTTGAACTGAATTCCTTTATAAAAACCTAAATGTTTCAAGCACATAGATCTTCTTCAGGTGACGTGGCTATGTGCATGAAAGCTAGTTCCAAGTAAAATAAAACTAGTCTTTGAAATACTACTGTACCATTTCCAGTATTATATTATATATCAGAGAGTACGGCTCATAGAATTCTAAGATTACTATTATAATAGTAATTATTATCAGTTTTACGATCATCAGGCTTACAGTGTGTTCCAACCGCATAGGATACACATGGTTGGTTTTCACTGCTAGCCAATTGTCTATCTGAAGGATGGTATTCTCAAACAGTACCTTGCAAAGATAAAAATTGCTGAGGGAGGTCAGAATAGCAAATTTAAGACATAGATGCACTGTTTCCTGGGATTTGTGCCCATACTCCTTTCCACAATTAATATTTCCGCTGTTGCTAAATTTAATTAGTATTTGTCCGATTTCTTAAATCCCTCTGATTTCAGTTCTGACAAATTTCTAAAATTGATGTCTGATACAGGCAGCAGATATTAATATGTTCAATTGATTTGAACTTTTGAGTGTGATTTAGTATGGTACATCAATATTTTTCTACTTTAAAATGTCATGCTCTCCTTAACACACAAGGGGGAATTATAAAATGTATGGGATTTCAAGCAGAATTTTAAACTGAAGTATGTTTATCTTCCAAGTCCAAGTCCATTTTACTTACCCTTTGGTACCAAAGGGTGTTCGTAAAATTGAAAAATTCGTAAACTAGATTGGCAGTCAGTTTCCAATACCTGGGCCTAGCTATCCCCTGCCATTGAGCGCCGATAGGCTGACGGCGGCCAGGCCTAGCACGAACCGACAGTGCAGCAGCGTGGTCAACCGCGATAAAGCCTAGCCGAATTTACCTTTAAATAAAAACCAAATTATTTTAATCGCTGGCATTCTTCCACTTAACAAAATATTATTCTTATTTAAACATCTGTATGTTTTATGGCCCTTTCTTTCGTGTACTTTCTAGTTGTTAGATCGCTAAATTGTGTTGTTTACATGCATTTCGCGATCATACTAGCATTCACAATGTCAATAAATTGCTGACCCCAACACTCTCGTTCGTCATCGTAAACATGTGCGCTCAATCGGACGATGCTTGCATTGGTAGTTCGTTGTTCTGGTTAGGTTTATTACATTAATATAGTAATTATTATAGCACAAATAGAAGAAAAGATCGAACTATTAATAAATAAATACAACAAACTTGATTTTAAGAAAAATATACATTATCACTTAGTAAAAACGTGCGCAATCGGATTATTTATTGGTAAAATGGACGTTTGCAAAATGGACGTTTTACTGTACTTATCCATGTTATACCTTGCCCTATATGCAGGATAATATTAGGACTTCACGATACTTTAGACAACAGATTTGACCAATGAATGAAACGCCTACTGTAGCTTCTAATTAGTAAGATGTCAATCTTTAATTATGTCTTGTCATTACTTTTTGACATTGCTTCTCTGATTTATATTACTTAATTGTTCTCTGTTAACAGCACAACTTCAATTAACAAACAAATAGGTGGAAGGAACTTGAAAACCAACAAAAAATAATCAGCATCTGCCAATCACGGCAGTATTTTTAATAGTACATAAGATTGTTCGTACTGTATAATAAATATTTACTACATCACCAAGTAATCATTTTGACAATCACTGTTAATGGTTTAAGAGAACAAAAGCCTGCGAAGTCATTAATAAAAAGCTTTCTCACACAAAGAAAAGCGTCAAATATTAAAACAGCCATCATACTAAGTGTGTTGACCTCATTCATCACCATGGCAACCTAATAATAAATCTCTTTATATAGTAAGTATTGGAGGTACAGTAATGTCAAAGCTTTTATTTCGAAGAATGGACAATGATGCATTATTATTCAAAGAGCAGGCCACTTTGGCTCCATTCCATATATTAGTAGAGGTCTATAGTTCCATTTAAAATACTATGGGTTTGTTCTGTCATAGTCAGTTGGCCTATTATGTTTAATTGATATGCCTAGTTATTATATACGAAGTCTCGATAATTTATCATTTATTTTAAATAAATTTCTTTCACTGGATGTAAAATTATAAGCTGACCCAGGCATGGGCTGACCAGTATTTTTAGCATTACTATTGTACAGCTGAATTCTAGTATTGTAGAAGGCAAACAAAGGTAATAAAAACAGACTTCTCAATAGACACACTTCTTGTACAATAAAATAGCTTACAGACAGCATGGAGAAGACAATAAGGAATGATCTAATGGGCCACATTTCAAATGTCAAATAAAACATCTGTCACTATTTTGAAAAATTATGAAACGCTCTCAAATTCCTTTTCTATGAAACGTGAAGTAAGATGAAGAAAGCTAATGAATGTATTAAAAATAGGCTAAAGATATTTTTAATTAAATAGCTCACAGAAAGAATGCTGTACACAATGTGGATAAATTTGATGGACCACAACATGCTTTAAATGTCAAATAAAATATGTTAACATTTTGAAAAATAAGGTTAGATAATAATTTGAAGTACCGTATTGCATATTTTAAAAACTGAATAAATATTCAATTAATGAATGAATATTAAAGAATCACTACAAATTGTAATTGTTGACTTTTTTTGTATGTAAATTTAAAGACATCCCATTATACCTGGACCCATGCATATTACAATTTCAACTAAAAATTTATCAGAAACTTGTTTTTACAACTATTTAAAAAAAAAAATACTTAAAACAACGTGTCTATTGACCATGTACACACATCTCAAACATTTATCGGAGTACCGTAAAACCTTGAATTGAAGCCCTGGGCTTCTTTTTTTTTGGGAACTTTGAATGGGCTTCATTTCGAGATGGGCTACTTTTAAAGTCTTTAAAGTAAAGAGGGGCCTTCTTTTCAAAATGAATGCTGTAAATTTTGTGAATTTGTGCAATTAAACAATAAATAAGGTCAATGTACAGTAAAATCACTCTGTATCATGGAGTGTATTTAACTGGCATTAAATCACCTAAACTAATGTACAAATCAAGCTTGTTTTTAATTCATTTTGTTTTCTGAAATTCATGCACAGTTTATGTACTGTACTATCTTGAAAAGAAGCCCGGGGGCTTCAATTCGAGATGGGCTTCACCACGAGCTTAAGCCCACTGGGCTTTACTTCGAGGTTTTACGGTAGACTGAGAATCAACCAACCTGCTAGCAATTATTGTCTATGTGACTAATAACAAGATGATGGTCACCATGGAAACCAGATGGACTACCGGTATTTATGAAAATGTTTGTCGCGTGCAGGAAATTGCTTAATCTATGCGGTTTTTAAAATATTTTTTTATTCACTTGGGCACCACAGAGGGCACATCGTTAAAACCGAGGTGCGTCCGATTTTCGCCTTCCTAAATAAAAATTTGCATTTTCACAGAATTTTTTTTTCATGTTCATTCAAATTTATGAACCGAGCTCCTTTTGGTTATTTCCCAAGTTGTATATTTTTTAGTCTCTTTTATGTACAGATGTGTAGTACCTGTTTATTTTCTTATGAGGATAACTGAAACTGAAATAATAAAAAACAAGGATTGATATGTATCCACTAAGCCAGGGCAGATGTATGTATGTAATATCAGTGCAAATCATTTCTGACATTCAATACTGTAAAAATGTTTTAGATATTGTAAACTGATTTTGTTCTCTGTATCTACAGGTGAACCAAATAACTTCTTCTTACTCTATTTCAAGTGTTTATACAGACAATAGAAATGAAAAATGACATGTAATACTAAACTAAATGTTTAGTGTTGACACATAAACTAAAACAAAGGTAAATTATGGCCGTTAGATATCACTTCCTAAAATGTTTTCATTAATAAAAGTTACTATATGAATGAAATAAACTATATATTTGTCAAAAAGTAAGGCTTGAATCCAGAAATGTTTCTCATCATCATTGTGACATTAGTCAAAATGTATTAGTACAGTATATCACCCTATTTAGGCTGGAAAAGTAATGAGGCAGAGAGGCTTTTTATTTTTATTTTTGCGAAAGCTAAATATCTCCTTTAGGTTGTTTGTTGCTGGTGCATTGATATTTAAAAAGAAATACTTGATTGAGATAATACAAACAATATCTACTAAATATTTACAAAAAAAATGTAAAAGTTCAAAAATTTCCTTAAAAAAAAAATATATATATTATATTTCTTCAATACCATAGAAGAGATGCGGGTAAGGGTGATAAACTAATCATTTTTTTTTTATTGGGCCTTATTAATTCCAGATAAAAAGAGAGTTCCCAGAGGTGCTTAAACAAAGGGTGTTTAGTGCAAGAAGGCACAGGATTACGTCATTTTAAATAATTTACCTACTGATTAATGTCATCAAAATATTGTTTATTGGCATAATTGGTATTTATGACAAATCCAATAGAAACACAGTAGTAGTATATGTACCTTAAATGATCAACTAAACACCCAATGCTGTAGCCAAGATTTTCAAACAGTGTACATCCAAATGTACAATGTAAAACATAGAAATGTACAATGTTATTAAAATCAAGTAACATATGATTAACAAGTGAACAGAAGAAACGGTGCCAAGCTCCTCTTAAAAGTTTCTCCTGAATGATATCAGTGCTTCATGTTTGCTGCCAGGTACACCGGACAGGTGTCACACCTGTCCAACATACCACTATACCAGTGTTCTCCAGACCACGAGCAGGGAAGGACCCAGAAGTAATGATCTTAAAAATAAATACTGCATGTTTGTTTCGTGTTTCACTACAGTTATTGGAAATGATTTTATAATGGTAGAGACTTGGCATATGGGATGGAACTAGAAAAAAGGCTTGGCAGTCTACGTGTTAATGTAGAGTATATATTTCTAAGTGCCTAAATATTTTGTACCCTCCCTTGAATAAGCACCTCCCTCGTATAAAAAAAAACACAATAGCCTCCCAAAAAGTTAAATTTCTGTGGTACTAATATAATTATAGTCAGATACTGTACAGCAAGATATCTTATTTTTTTACTTTTTTAAAATTTTAATTATTTATTTAGGCGCACAACACATGCGCCAAGGATTGTCAATAGCAAATACAGGGGCGGATCCAGGATTTAAAAGACGGGGGTTTAAAGTGTTTCCAAAAAACCCCAAAACAAAAGGGGGGTCTGCGGGTTCTCCCCCGGGAAAATTTTGATTCCTAGATGGCCGGAAATGAGCTTTCCCGACTTCTGAGGAGTCTTTTAGTAACTTTTAAGATCTTCAAAATTCAAGGTTTTCCCTCTCTTGAAAAAAGGTCAGGTAATTTTATCTCATTCTTTAGGCCTATCATAGAGGAAAAAAATCAAGACAGGTAATAGGCCTATATTATTATATTCCTACAACATTGAGTAGTTATAGTCCTTCATCCATGGATCAATGAACCGATAGGCCTAAAGAATGCAGTTTCGTACAAAAATTATTACGACGGCGAACCAAAAACAGTGTGTATAATTTATTTAATTGAAAACTAGTTGGGCTATAAGCCTAGTTTGTCTGATTTTCCAACCTATGCCTAGGTAGGTAGGTTAGCATGCCTTTTGTAAGCCAGGACCCAGTTGTATTTTGTTATGTTTCTTCACAGAGGGGGTTCATCCAAACCCCTTGAATCTCCCCCACCCCTGGATCCGCCACTGGCAAATATTCACTGTCCTGCTTGATTGAAGGTGACAATCACTTACACACAACAAACATACACACACGATACTTTACACAAACTAAATCTCAATATGAGGTTTAGGGAGTGGATTTGTTTTGGCTATGAGAAAAAATCCTGCAACACTGACAGGAACTGAACCCAGGACCCTGGGATTGGAAGGCAAGCATTTTAACCACCAAGCTATTCAACTCCACTCATCATCATACTATAATATCATCAAAAAATATTCATGGTATTAGCCTAAGCATCATTGGTTTCTTAATTTTTGTGATCTTTTTCCGTTTTTTGCTGTAGCAGATTAGACTTGCACTAAATTACAGCCAATCAAGGATGTTTAGATTTTCTATACACATGGAAGGATTATACAAGCTCAAAATTAATAATAAAATCATGAGATTCTACATTATGATACCCATGATACCCATGTGAAAATACGCACCTGCATCTGTGGCTGGATTAGCTTCATTGGCCCAAAATCAACCTCATTCATTTCTCCCTGAAAGTAATTGTAAAAGGATGTCAATATTTTGTATTGCACTCAGTAGTATAGTATTTGCATTATAAAGTCCAAATATTATTGCTGAGGTTTACATGACTGTAAATGTACTAACATATCAAAAAGGCTTAAATTATCATTTTGATTAATCAGAAAATCTATTGGAAACTAAATACAATATATTTTAATTACTTACAGTACTTTGTATTAAGTATCTTTCAGCTAGAATATTACAACAAGAAAATATATTCATCACCGAGTGAAAGATGCATATGTTAAAAAACTTAACAAAACCATTAACTTGACGAGTAATCAATTTCAGGATTTTTGTTGTCTCTGAATATGCAAAATCTGATTTGTTTTGATTTAGTCTCTCTTCCTAAGTTGATAACTTCACTCTATCTGAACCTTATAAATGAGCAAATCAATATTTCAATATAATTCTAATTATTTTTCCAGATTTACTACATACATTAGAGCTTTGGAAGACAAACATCTCTTTTGAAAATGTTTTGTAATAGAAAATGTTCAAAGTCTGATTGCGTACGTTTTTCAAAGTGATAATATATATTTTTCTTAATAATAAAATTAGATTTGTTGTATTTATTTATTGACATTTCAATCTTTTCAATTTCTGCTATAATAGTCGCGCTATTAATTCAGTTTCAATGAACTACCACCGACGTTCGCCAGTCCTTAAAATGAGCGTACACGTTTACGAAATAAAAAAAAGTGTGTTGCAAGCCAGCAATTTACTTGACACCGCAAAGCTAGATTTTCGCGAAGTGCATTACGTAAGCAACACAATTCAGCGATCTAAAAACTGCAAAAAAAACATGACAGAAAGGTCCATAAAGTATACAGACGTTTTAATGAGAAATAAAACAGTATTTTGTTAAATGGGAGAATGCTAGTGAAAATCATTTGGTTTTTATCAAAGGTAAATTTAGCTAGGGCCTAGTAGTCTACTATTGCGATAGACCACTCTGCTGCACTGTCAGTTGGTTCGTCTATATATCAATGGCAGAGGACAGCTAGGCTAGGTAGTGGAAACTGACACCTGATCTATAGTAGTTTACGAATTTGTCAATTTTTTTTACGAATACCCCTTGGTACTAGAGGTTCATAAATTACAGTAGACGTTATTAAACAAGCCTTTCCACCGTGTGACGTCGACGGCCTCGTAGCTAGCTGGCTGTTTATCTGGCTCTAACTTGGCATCAAACGCAACTAGGGAAAATCGTATCATATTTCAAGATTTAGATAAGTGGCTTAACTTTGACGTGAACCAGGCTATTAACTTGCATTTCAGTCTCCGGAGGGAAATGTAATGGTACTCAACCAGGAACCTATAGATCTAGATGGTTCAGTGCACAGGGAACATTTTCATTTCAAAATTTTGATTAGCAATGTTTGCTAATCAAATTGAAAATTGAGTAGCAATATCGCATGTTTGTATAGCATTTTTTCCCCAAAAATTATCATCGAACTATTATGATTTTACAACATTCAAGATCCATGCAGGCTTCCAAAAAGAAATTCATTCAAGAAAAGCCCATAATGAAGAAGTCCCACTACTTTAGATGATGAAGATGAACACAACATTGCAATTTACATTAGTGAAGATTTTTTTAAACAATAGAGTAAATTTACATTTTAATTTCAATATTCTTTGTTTTGTATGTATACAATATTAATTATTGAAGTATCAATGGATGCTGTTTATTTGGAATAATCTATGTGAACATAGAGAGAGAACTTCCTTCTCTATGATGTGAACAATAAACTTAATAAAGTACATAGTGATGTTACAAAAATACAATCGTTATTTTTTACCACCACGAATAATGGGGATGAGTTGACTGGGCCACGGTCGTCTGGGGATGAGTTAACATTGATAACAATGATAGGACAATAATGTTATCAACAGAACAAAAATGTCCTGATTATATTGTAAAGGAAAATTAAGGTTGAGTTGATCAAGTCAAAAGTTCATATTAGGCCTACTTTACTTGGCCGTGGTCAACCGACACCGAGGAATGTAACTTGATTCACTAGGCCTAGGCCTATTTTTGTGTGGCAGACTTGCTTGACAATGACAGAATCAATCATTAATCGGCACAACATTACAGCAGATTACAGCTCTCTTGAAACCAGCAATATGTACTTAACTGATTTAAAACCATTAATGCTAAAAAGAATCTTGCATGTTTGTTCTATTTAAGTACAGTATTTATAAACGAGAGTCAGGCCTAGCACTACCCTATCTAATCGTCATCTTGTTTATAATGCTGACAGGTTCCCAGTTGTTAAGCTTCACTGCGCACCATTTCAAAACATCAACACACCATATACCACGAGGTTGGTTTGAGCGTGAATCGAATGCGGCGGCGGGCGGAAGGCCGTTCAAAGAGAAGAGCCTGTCGGAGTGTTCTTTGATTTTCTTCCGACAAAGCACTGACGCGGGTGGAAAAATAACTGATAATTTTCACAGCAAGTTGTAACCTAGCAACAAAGTTTCCTGGTCTGAGCGTAGAGCAAATTGCTCTGATTGAGGAATACCAGGGGTAAGTGAGATGTAATTTCACTTATCCCTGGGAATACAGAACGATTCATAATGGTAGACACGGTTGTGGGTTATTGTGTTTATTTTCACGGGCAGCATCTTTCCCACTATGTGACGTCTCAAGAATTGATTGCTCCCCCGAATTGCTCCATTGAGTTATTAAATCCAGAGAAATAACGTTTTATTTTTCTCCACCCACAGTTCAAATAAAATCACTTTTACTAAATAATTTTTTTCGTTTTAAAACATTTATTTCGTCATTTGAGAAGTTTACAAACTTCCGATATTTGACCAAGCCTCCACCATAGGGGAATTATCAACAAGTTTAATTACGATTGAACATGCGCAATGTATCTACTCCGCCGAGACTCGAGGAGACGAAAACAAATCGGAGATTTTGTGACATGTGTTCGCACGTTGTAAACGAGGTCATTGCCTTTGAGCTCGAGTGAGAGTGTTATCAGAATGATACGTTGAAGCATGGTTGAAAAACAATACAAACACAATAAGAACTATTTTATTGAAAACAAATGACAACTAAAACGTGTAAGTTATAAAACATTCGGAGGCCTACGTCTGGCTAGGCCTAGGGCCTAGTGTGAAAAACAACATGCAGAGATGAAGCTTTTCTTGGTTCGCAATGTTGTGCGACGCGGTTTGGTAATTGCGTAGCAATTGTTAATTATTGTGTAGCTATTTGCGATGCGATACTGGCGAAAATGTTCCCTGGTGCACTCACAGCTGTTATAGGGAAAAACATTAATTAATTAATAATTTTAATTTTTTTTTTTTTATTATTAACATGGATATGAAATGAAACTGAGAAAAGATTGAGAAATTTAAAATATTAAAATATGGTATTTGAATATTTACAGTAAGTAAATATTTAAAAAGGTTTTTATATTACCAAGATATAATCATGTACAATGGTTTTGGGTAATCCATAAAAACATGCTGTTGGAAATGGTTAACAGTTTGTGTACGCATGATCTCAAAAAGACAATAATTTTATTTCATATCATATGGTTAATGGGTATGATAATGGAGACATTGCATGATAAATGATAAAATCAATACACTGAGGCCAATAATGTTGAATTACGAAACTGATGATCAATAGGCTGCCATAAATATGTTTTGATGATATTAATGATGATGATGGTAATGATGATGGATGATGATGATGATGATGACAATGATATTTATCATATTGATGCTGATATCATATTGATGCTATGAGGATGATTATGATTATGTCAATAAAGATGACACTGACAATGGTATTTATGATGATTATATTTGAGATAAGGAACACATTATAATAATTATATTCATGACAATGATGTTGGCCAACAAACGGTAAATAGACCTTCTATTACTACAACAATAATACAATTTAACAATAATTTAAATGTTAGAATTGGTTTGTAGGCCTACTTGTTAATACAGAGAGCACATTGTATAATACCTACTACCTGTATAATCAGCAAATAAAATTAATTCAACTTGCATTTTGATAGGTCTTTTGAAGGTAATCTCCAGTATACTCTATACAGTGTCTGTTCTTAAAGTATTGAAATCTGGCCTAACAGTTACCAAGCCAACCAGTTATTCCCTCCCAAGAGGTTGTACGTTCCAAGGTCAGATTGAAACTTGAAGATTCGTTAGAAATTATGCAGTCTTCATTCTTTTTTTCAAATCTTGAAATTAATCTTTTCCACTGACCTTTAAAAACAGGCAAGATACAGTAATACACTACTGTATCCCTGATAAACTATATTTATTTCATTCGTTTTCATTTGGTGAAATGATGACGGTAAAAGCGTTTATAATATGGTGAATGCATTTAATGGATTGTTAATTATTAATTCTTATGTTGAACCATAGTACACACTGATTAGCATTTGACTACATCTTTTCTTTTTTTGCCCATGCTCAGTGTTATTTTACTTAGAAAATTATTGGGGAAAATCTGTATTACAGAACACTCTTAGCAGAGTATTCTGTGTTCCTGATGGAACTTCAGAGGTTTTTCTAGTTTTTAAAATAAAACCTCCTTGGCATTTGAAATTTCATCTTTGCTATAATTTTTTCATTCTTATTTTTAAAGCAATTTCAGCCTAAGTGTTCTTTATAACTTCTTTCTTATAATAAAAGAAACATAACTGAAACATAGATATGCTCTTCACAATATTCAAGATAAATTGCAAGCTACAACTGGTTTCGTTTCTTTTTCTTCTAAAATTCATGGTTTAACACTCACTAAATTAATGACTAATGGGACAGATTTAGTGATCTTTCTGAAAATGGGTTTCTCGGGAGCTCATTATTACAGTGAATTTCAATACTGTACCAAAGTACAGACAAGCGTTATTATTAGGCCAAAGTCAAGGGATCTGTGCGAGTATGGAAAAGAGAATGACACATATTCATA